TGTAATTTAATTTAGGTTCAATAATGAAGTAATTTATATTTAGTTTAATAATATAATTTTCTTATAAAGATAATAATTAATTATTTTGTTAGAACTCAATAATTATCCTAATTATATTTTAGAATGAAATATGTATTCTCTATTTGATTATGTTTATCCGCAGTTAGTTACACGAATTCAAACATGGAGCTTTAGTAAGTTGTATTTATACATAATTTACTTGTAATTTTCAATTTTAAGTAATATGCATCAATATACGTATTTTATGCATAAAAAATGGTTTTTAAGAGTTTTTGTCAAATACTTTATAATACAGTGAGATATTGTAACATCTGGATGTTACAATATGTTATTTCAAATCCACCATATATGTGTCTATGAAATCATTAATCCAAATTATTAAATTTAGGGATATATAAATATGTTTATAAATATTAAAATTTTGTCAAATCATAAAAAAATATAACAGATTTAAAAAAATACTTATCATCAGGGTAAAACTCCTGAGAACATATGTCATTATGACATGTCTAACGCTTCTAATATTATTTGTTGGTCATGAGCATGATTGTAAGTTTTGTTTTCTTCGACATCCATTGGAAATGATATTATAAAATGATGATCCTAGAGTGTGGAAGTATTGTTGCTGTGAAGACCAAAAAGAGTGTTTCAACGCTAGAAATTCCAGATTTGTGAATAAATATTGTGTAAAGAAGTATTGGATGTGTGGCTTACGATATAAACGTCATATTTAATTTACAACATATGTCTATAGAAAATGGAATTTGAACCCATAATTAATACAACTTTCTTATGTATTGATTTCGCAAACCAATGTCTTAAACCACTCGGCCATACAAAACTTGCGCCCTCAATTTCATCGGCAAAATAACCACTCTCTTGAAAGGAATTTTTTTCATTTTAGTTGCAAAGAGTAAACTACAATTTCCGTCCTTATGGTTTGTAATTTCGTCCCAATGGTTTGTAACTTACTGTTGTTTTTGTCTGAATGGTTTATAATTTATTATTGTTTTTCGTTCTTGAAACTAAATCTGTTAAAAATCTATCATTAGAGGAATGGTATCAAACCGAACGTTTTACAAACCATGATAGTCATCTTGTAGTCTCCAAACTGTAGAGACAAAAAATAATATTTTTGACCAACCAGATGAACGAAATTTATAGTTTACTCATTATAAAACTTGGTTCTAACATATTTTTTGAACGTTCATAGCATCTCCAAACAGTTATATTATAATTTTTCTAAAACAAGGCATCAAAAGTTAACATCTCTAAAAAATTACATCAAACTCCAATAACTACTCTATTTAGCAATTATAGCATTTATTATATTATTAAAATATTTTATTCATTTAATAAAATATTATTTATCTCTTCTAAATATTTAATTTCAATACATCTTATATTCGTTGGAAAGAAATAAAATATTACTTCCTTCTCCTATATAAAGTTTTTAGAGATTTCTCTAAATTTAGATATTTTTACACACTCTCTCTTCTTTTTTATACTTTACAGTACCATATAGCATAAATGTTGGAGTACAAATCTCCTTTGAATGGCTAGGCTACTTAGCAGTTGCTGAATGGTTTGATGCAGAATGATTAAGTTGTCATAATGATTAAGAATCTATTTATGATATAGTGAAAAATAAGATTTAATTGTTTGGTAATTGTTCAGAATGAATTTAGGACACTAAATGATTAAGAAAGACCCAAAATACAAAATCATTCAAAAGAATTTAGATTCATTAAAAAATGAACGTTTTCTTATCAAACAAAATTTACCTTTTACCAATTCAGATGTGAGCATTAATTCTTATACTTGGAGCATAAAATTTATTTAGGGAGAGAATGGACCATTAACTTTTATTATTTATTTGTTTCTTTTTCCAACAACAATTTATTGTAATAATCTATTAGGATTCAGGAGAGACAATATGTCACTTAATCTTTATTTTTTAAGAGTTTGTGGAATTTTAAATGAATTAATTATTTAATACTAGAAGGTTACTCGTGCAATGCATTGAAACATATTTTCATTTTAATGTTTTGTTTTGTTTTTCATCCATGTCGATATAATACGATTTTATGTGGTTTTGAGAAAGATAATGTTTTTATTTTTGAATAAAATATAAATTTGAAAATATCATATAAAATTTGCAAAAAATATATTACTATTAGTACAAATTAACTATTTAAAAGTTTTTATTTGTATATATTTTTTAATTCATTTTTTTATTATAATTTAATTTAACGTAACGAAGTAACTTAATTTAGGTTTAATAATATATATTTTTTTAATAAAAATAATAATTAAGTATTCTGTTAGAACTCAATAATTATTCTAATTATATTTTAGATTTTTTATATTTTAAAATGAGATGTATATCATCTATTTGATTATGTTTATCCACAGTTAGTTACACTATTTCAAACATAGAGCTTTAATTGTACTTATGCACAATTTACTTGTAATCTTGAATTTCAAGTAATATGCATCAATAAACAGTACTTCATGCATAAAAAATGGTTTTTAAGAGTTTTTGTCAAATACTTTATAATATAATATAGATATAGTTAATGTCAAAATTTAAAACAGAAAATAGAAACCCGCTGAAACTAAATGTAATGTTTTTGAGTACTTTTAAATTTTTTTTTGAGATTTTAAACTTTTTAACTAATATACTTATTTTAGTTATTATAAGTATTAAAACATTATTACATAAGTAATGAATGAAATATTAAAAATTAAAATTTAAATAAATAAACTTATTGCTTTGCTTGATTGGAAATTGTATTTAAGAATGTTTACCTGTAAAAATCAACATTTTCATTTAAACATTATTTAGCAAACATAAACTAGCTTATAAGTTAACTTTTTTTTTTTGTATACACGTTTGGATGAAAATAAGCTATCTTATTAGCTAGTTTATTGAAACACTAGTAATTGAAGTAGCTTATGAGTAGTTTTTTTTTTTGTTATTTTTTCAATTATATTTCTCATTAATATTAATTATTGTTCATTACTATTGATTATAAATAACTATTAATTCTTAAAAAAATTATAATTACTAATATTAATAAAAAGTTAATTAATAGTATTAATATTAGTTGAAATAACTAATTTTGATTATCTATTAACTGTCAACAATAGAAGAAATGCAACTTCAATCTTAGATAAAATGAAGATTTAAAAATAGATAAAATGAAGATTTGAGGGATTTTTTATTTAATAGATTTTTCAAAACTTTTTTTTTAATTAATCTGGATATCCAACCCGCTATACGAGCTGACTAAGCCCAAGACGACTATTTGCTTTGTAAATAGCCTGGAGTCACCATATTTGAACCTTTGTGGCCAAATGGGATTTTTATTTCTTCTTGGATTTGAACCTGAGACCTCTTGGTACTTTTGACCTTTGGAGCCAAGCTCAAACCAATCAGACACCACCCTTGCGGTTAAGGTAAAATGAATAAATTAGTAGGAAAGATAAGGTAAAATGTATAAATTAGTAGGAAAGATAAGGTAAAATGTTTCAAATTTGAATAATTCGCTAAAAATGATTGCTTAAGAGTGAGAAATGGTATTTAATTATTTTTCACAATATAAGAGTTTTTGAAATTAAATGTTTAAAAAAAATAAATAATATATAAATTTATATATACACACATATATATACATATATAGAGAGAAGGGGGAGTTTCTTCTGTTAATTATTAAGAGGATGTTAACTATACAAACTTTGTGATAGATTCATGTAAAAACCGAAAAAAAATAGGAACATCCTGATAATCATTCATCTAACGATATGTATGTACATATGCATACTTCGTGTGTATAAAGAAAGCTTAGGATGGTTTTTGTCATTTTGTGTGGTAATTGATGTTGTAGGAAGTGTAGCAGGAAAAGTGGAGTAAAATCAAGTCCATGGAAGATTATTTCTGCATGTAATATTCTTGACACTTGTAACAATCGGATGGAAAAGGGGAGGTAAGGTCTAAAGCATTTCTCTCTAAACCTCTAATTTCTTGCTGAGGAAGGATGATCCGGATTCATGGCATCAATTCTCTCTCTTTATGTGTGGACCAAATCTACCTCTACTAAATTCATCACCATTCCCTTCATCTTTTCTGATGACTTCAAGTCCAATAACACCAAACAAAACCACAAATCACAGAATCCACCCTCCCTTCAGGTTTCATCTTTTCTACATTTCCATTTACTTTCATCTTTCCCTCTGCAAATATTCCCTACCTTCTTCAATAGCCTCATAATAAACGAAAAAGATGGTGTTTTGCCGGAAGATTGTTAGTTTTTCATGAAACAAGCTGCTGTAAATAGAGCCATGTTACTGGGGTTCTTTTAGAATGGCCAAGGAACATGTTGGATCACCAAAATATCACCAGCTGGAATCAAGAAAGAATCATGCCACATGGATCCTGTCTGTTAGTGGACTTTGCATCTTGTTCTATGCATTAGGAGCTTGGCAAAGTAGTATCGCCCCAACAACCCAAACTGACATCACCAATAGAGTTGGATGTGAAAATGGACCTAATGAAGCTATTCATTCATTCTCATCATCATCGTCGTCATTGCCATCACCATCATCATCGCCCGTGTTCTTGGATTTCGAAAGTCACCATCACTTGGTAGATGAAGAAGATTCACAAGAACTGCAAGAGTTTCCAACATGCAATATGTCCTACAGTGAATACACTCCATGCCATGAAAGAGAAAGGGGAAGGAAATTCGATAGAAATATGATGAAGTTTAGAGAGAGACATTGTCCAAACAAGGAGGAGCTCCTGCGTTGCCTTATACCTGCACCACCAAAGTACAAGCTACCCTTCAAATGGCCAAAGAGTAGAGACTATGCATGGTTTGATAACATTCCTCACAAAGAGCTTAGCATTGAGAAAGGTCATCAGAATTGGATTAAAGTTGAAGGTGACCGCTTTAGATTTCCAGGAGGCGGTACTATGTTTGCTCGTGGAGCTGATGCTTACATCAATGATATCAACGAACTCATCCCTCTTACTAATGGAAGCATTCGGACTGCACTTGATACAGGGTGTGGAGTAAGTATTGTATATATAGCTTTTGGCTTATGTATGTCATTCTTCTATTTTTTCCCACTAACAAAATAGGCTTAATAGAACATCAAATATGTTTAAATGTATAATGTATTAATAAATGTTGTATTAGATACATATATATATATATATATATTTGACGTCTTATAAAGCCGATTTAGTTGTAGTAAGCCCTTAGATTGAAGTTAAGAAGTAAAAATCTTGATGAATGTTGGGATGAAGAGTATAATTTTTTTTTGTGTTATCAAGGTTGCAAGTTGGGGTGCATACTTGCTCAAGAGGGACATAATAGCAATGTCTTTTGCTCCTAAGGACACACATGAAGCTCAAGTATGGTTCGCGTTGGAGCGTGGAATTCCCGCTATAATTGGCATTATGGGATCACAACGACTTCCTTACCCAGCAAGAGCATTCGACATGGCTCATTGTTCACGATGCCTAATTCCATGGAGTAAATATGGTAATTAAGGTTTTACAAAGCATTAGCATATCAGCTATAAAACTTGAAAAATCGTATCCTGTTTCTATATGCTAATGAATTAATTAGTTTGATTCAATTGTGATTGATGTGCAGATGGACTATATCTAATTGAAGTGGATAGAGTTCTAAGGCCTGGTGGATACTGGATACTTTCTGGACCTCCTATTCACTGGAAGAAGTCCTGGAAAGGTTGGGATAGAACTCAAGAGGATTTGAAACATGAACAAGATGGTATTGAGGATGTTGCCAAACGTCTTTGTTGGAAAAAAGTGATAGAAAAGGGCAGTCTTGCTGTGTGGCAAAAACCAATCAACCATATCGATTGCATCAAAAGTAGAAAGGCTCATCACAAGCCACATATGTGCAAATCAGGCTATGCCGATGAATCTTGGTACTTCTAGTTTCATTTCCTCACTACATTTATGCATAATGTGCAAACTATGACAAATCGGTTTTATAAGACTCCAAATATATGTCTCAATGTCCTGATAAACACTTTACTGTAACACCTTTGAATATGATGCACAATTGTTTGGTTTTATAGTCATAAGTATTACAAACCAATCTATAGAACATTTAGATACATTTGGCATTCTATAAAGCGGATTTTGTTGTAGTGGCATGTGATCTGGAAGTTATAACATCATCACAATATATTTATAATGATATTTGGTGTGTATTGAATGGATTAAGGTATAAAGAACTAGAAAGTTGCATTACACCCATGCCGGAGATAAGCAGCTCGGATGAAGTCTCAGGTGGAGCTCTAGAAAAATGGCCAGAACGTGCATATGCTGTCCCCCCTAGAATCAGCAGCAACTCAGTAGCGGGCATCACACTGGAGAAGTTCCAAGAGGATGCCAAACTTTGGAAGGAGCGAGTGACACATTATAAAACCATCGTTACCTCTTTACCTCAAGGAAGATATCGTAATATAATGGACATGAATGCTTATCTTGGTGGATTTGCAGCAGCTTTGATGAAATATCCTGTGTGGGTAATGAACGTCGTTCCTGCCAATTCACAACCCGACACTTTAGGGATAGTTTATGAAAGAGGATTCATTGGGGTTTATCATGATTGGTGTGAAGCATTCTCGACTTATCCACGAACATACGATTTCATCCATGCAGGTGGTGTTTTCAGCATGTATCAAGATCGGTACAAGAGTTGTCTTTTTGCGTGTTTTTTGAATTCATTATGAATAATTTTAAGGTGGCCATGTCTTTAATGGTTAGAATACTTGTTTTTAAAGGTGCGACGCCATAGATATTCTATTGGAAATGGATAGAATCTTGCGGCCAGAAGGGACTGTTATATTCAGAGATGAGGTGGAAGTAATCGAAAAGATTAAAAGTACAGCAGAACATATGAAATGGAACACCAAGATCATTGACCATGAAAGTGGAGCATTCGGCAAGGACAAAGTCCTAGTTGCTGTCAAGAGTTACTGGACGAGTGAAGCTAAAGAGGAGGAAGATGACATTGAATCTAACTAATGTTGCAAGTGAAATTTTTTCTTGCTGCTCTTTGGCTTGTAACATTTTCAAGATCAAGCTTCAAAGTAAGGTTATGATCATTGATGATCAAATGAAATGGAGGCACCATTGGTACTAGGAATTTATACAGCTTCAGGATGAATATGTGAATCGATGTATTATTTGGTTTCTGAACTGGGCACTTAACAATGATAGCTGATTATGGATCTTGAATGAGAGGTTTGAAGTCTAGTTTGGAAGGATTCTGGTTTCTTCATCGGCTACTGTAACTTTTTCTGATGGATTTTTGTAGCTAGGAAGTGTAATGCAACTTACTTTTAATCTAGTATTTTGACTATTTTCTAGTTGTGATTAGATTCTTTGTCTAGAAAAAGGAGAAAGAAAAGGAAGCATTAGATGAGAGGAGCATAAGGAAAACCTCAGGAATTACACTTTGCAAGGCTTGTTCGAACAAGTTTCGAACCTGAAACACATAGAACTGAATCACCATCATCTTCTTGGTTACAGTTACAAGAACGTGAGTAAGAAGAAGAATCTTTCTTCGCCATCACCAATGCTTGCCCTTGTCTTCTTTCATAAAAAGGATTAGGGCCCCTTTTGTTTCCTTCTACTTGTTGATCGATCGATTGAGGGACTTTTGTATTTAAGAATTTGGTTCTTCTGCTTTTAATTGAACTGGATAAACTCTGGTTGTTCTTGGAATGGTAGAATTTCCTTGCCTAAGGAATTTGAATTTCAAAATCCCAACAACAATAGAATCCAATGGAAGAGATCGTTCGAATCAGTAACAACAACAAACAATGTCTGCAATTATGTGTTGGAAGAGATCGTTTTTTAAAGACCTTCCAACGTCGCCGAATTCTGTATCTCCTCTTGCTACCAAGAAACTTCGTTTTCTCCGTTTTAGGGTTAAAAAGGTAATTTGGATTTTAAGGCGGATAAGTTGTTTTTGATAAGTTATTGATAAATTAGAATATAGTAACTTATCAAAAACTCTTTATTACCGGATTGATACCGGTACAAACATAATTATTTACCCTCATCCAAAAGCTAAAAACGTTACCGATACCACACAACACTAAGTCAATAAGTACTTTAAATAAGTAATCTCAAACACTCGGAGACCACTAAATTAAAATATTTTCTTTACTGTTCATGAATATGTGGATTATTTGACACATGTTCCACCATTTTTTCAATTTGTGTTATGTGGAGGTGTCCTCTTTAAATTTTTTCTTGGTGGCATAGCAAAACCTAGCCTTATTCTGCATCAATTTCATCATTTTCCTTCTTGATAACTGTGTACGAGTTTAGACCCAGTTCGTGTTCATCAAACCATTTCTGTAAATTAAATCCTCTTCCATCAAAACCTGATCCGCAAAGAGGAACCAGAGACATGGGAGCCCTACCTGTGGTTTATACATTGGGATTCACCTCTAATCATTTCGGATCTCATGGCAACAGGCTGAGCGACGTCCGAAGAACTGTAAATACTTGTGTAACAATGTCTCCGGCAGCCAAGATTGAATCAACTTTTACCGGTGGCTGCAAGATTCGACAGAGGTTGAGGAGGTTATCTTCGTTCCCATCAAGTTCAAGATCCTTCACTAGCCATCTCTGCAAGTCTCAACTCGTTCAAGATTTTGCCCCTGCAGCTTCTGCAGGCTACGCTGTTCTTCTCCTTGGCGGCGGCCTATTTGCCTGTTAGTTCTTTAAATTGCTGCCAATTTGTTGAATCTACTATCTTCCCTTACTATGAAAATAGTTATTAAACCCTAAATCTTGAATCTTTTTGGTTTGATTTCATGTTTTGCAAGCAGATAACAAATCAGGAAGCAAAGGGTCGCTTTTTGGCGGACTTACGGGGGCAACTCTTATGTCTGTTGTAAGTGTTGCCTTGTTTATGTTTTTCCATTCATTTGCATCACGCAATGTTAAACATTAGTTTTAGTTTTCATCAAGTCTGGAATGGATAAAGCTGATTGTCTGAATTAATTTGGGAGGGTTTTTTTCATAGACGAAAGGAGCTTGAGGGTCTGTTTGGAAAAGAAAACTTGGGTTTCTGCGTAAAGCTCCCTTTAAAAGCTTACAGACACGCCACTTTCTATACAAGTTATGTATAGTTGGCCGAATAAGGTGTGAGTCTCATTAAGCTTGTTAAGCTATTGACAAACAGACCCTAAGTACTATATAGATGTTGTTTGTGTGGATTAATTTGTCTGTATAGATTAAGAAATGTTTTATATGGGAGGGTATTTTCATAAATGGAAGTAGCTTGTTTTTTAATTGGGAGGGACAAGTGTGGAAAAAACATGGTTTTCTACATAAAGCTTCCCTCTAAAAGCTTATTGAATAAGCCACATTCTATATTATTAAGCCACTACCAAATAGACATATATAACTGACTGAATAAGTTGCGAGTTCATTAAACTGCTAACAAATAGGCCTCTAAGATGTGTATAACTACTAAATTCCAATTTGCCATCTATGCTTTAGCTACTATAATAAAGAATTACACCTAGATTTTTATGTTGTGAGAATATATGCAACTTATTAGATTACTGTCAAAAAAGCGTTTATGGAGACAAGATAGGCTCTAACATATACATATGTTCCAAGATTTAATCGAGGTGAGACTCTAACACGCCCGTCCAATTGAGGCTAGATGGGTACCGAATATCCTAGTGTGTCGAGAGGGGTCTAGACGAGTATAGATTGCCCTAGAGTGTTGAGTTCCTAAAAGTGGTAGACTATGACTCTGATACCATGTGAGTACATGGAACCTGTTACTTTCCAAAAGAGCCCTTTAAGTAGAGAAGACAGGTTCTAACATATATAGAGGATAAATGGTCCAAGTCAAGCAGATATGAGAATCTAATATATGTCATGATAGAAAGGTTTAGCAATATTCTTCCGTTAATAATTACCATTTATAAATCGGTACTTTACTGGAAGCTCGTGATTATGTGAGATATATGGTTTTCACTGGCAGGCCTACTATCTTATGCAAACACCTGAGACGAAGGAAATTGGCGATGCACTTGCATTTGGAGCTTCTCTTCTTTTTGCCTCTATATTCGGTATGAATATGGATTTCTATCCTCTTGCATTCTAAGATTGTTCAAGTAATCATCTTCACAACTTAACGGCTGAAATTCGTTTTGTTTTGCTACTGTTTGCTGCAGGCATTCGTCTTGCAGCCACGCGTAAAGTGATTCCGGCAGGCTTTTTGTTAGGCATTTCAATCAGCTTAATGGCAGTGACCTTTTCAGCTTATTTACAAGATAGGATCTGATGAAAGATAGTTTGCCTTTAGTTTCCTGTTTGTTGTAAGTTGGCACCATTCTTGCTTTTTCATCTTGTATGTTAGTCAATATAAGATCGTTTTCCTTATGATTTGTTTCAACTTGTCCCTTAGGAAATTGTGATTGCCCTCAACATAGAAAATGTGGCTTAGGGCCTGTTTGTTAGCACTTTAATGAGCTTAACGAGGCTCACAACTTATTTGGTCAGCCATACATGACTGTTTGGTAGTGACTTAATGATGTAAAAAATAACCTAGGGGCCGTTTACCAAACGCTTACCCGAGTAAACACTTGCCAAGTAATATTACCTCACTGGATGAATATGGCAAGGACCAAGAATCTTACTCGGTAAAAGCGAGACAAGGACCAAGAGTCTTACCCGGTAATTGAGGGCGACGACTCTTACCATGGTAAGCGTTTACCGGGTAAATTATTGCATATGATATCGTTTTGATGGACTAAAATTTTACCCGGTAAGTAAATAATAGTGTTAAATTTTACCGGTAAGCATTTACCGGATAAGTGTTTGGTAAACGGCCCCTTATTCGATAAGCTTATAGGGGGAGCTTTATGCAGAAAGACAAGTTTTTTTCCAAACTTGTCCCCCCTATTAAAAAACTTGCCCCTTTCATCTAAGAAAAACACACCCCTTCCATCAATGAAAAAACACATCCAAACAAAAACCTTCTGAATCTATACAGACAGATTAATCCATACAAATAACTTTATCCATACATGGCTTAATGAAAAACCAACCAAACAGCCTTTGTACTTTTGAAGATCATATCCCAAAGGCTATAATTGAAAGGGACACAATGATTTATGTTTTGTTCAACAGGACACCTATTTTGGTGGTACAAAAAAGTTTCGTTTTTATCCCACCTTGTTTCATGTCTATGCGAAACGATTTTCTATACTGTCATGTTCTGTCCTATCTTATATTGTATTGGTGTGCAGCCAACAATTACATCATCAATCAAGACACTCAAGATTGGTGAGATAATACCATTTACATTTAGTTTGAAGCTGAATGCTATGGAAGACTGTTTGGCTTGTATTACTGGTCTTTTTGCTTGTTCAGAAATAGATAAAGAAGGGAACAACATGAATGCCAAAGGGTAGCAGGGAAAGACACATGGGGTTTTGAAGATTCTTGTATCTTGCCTCATGTTTCATGCTCTAATCGCTTGTGAATATGCTTTTGTTTATTTGTTTTGCAAGTCTTGTTATGATGCTAATGACACTTGCATAATAATTGTATTAAAAGCACAAGCTTGTTTAGTGGTAGATGGAATCATTACCAGAAACAATCATTTCACATGAGTGGTGGAGCCTGGATTGATGCCATAAATAATTAAATTTGATTCTCAGATGCAAACTAGAATTTCCCAACTACATATGTTTACCTAGGGACTGAACGTGTTACCTGAACACATTATTATTTCTGTTTATTGGGTCGGTATGTATTTTCTTACCCACGTAACATATCTTACCTAATTAACGTTTATCCAATTTGTTTTGGTAAATGATCCTTCGTCTTAGACATAAGAAGTATAAGGGATGTTTGCAACTTACGATGGTATTTGTACAAATTGTTTGGATGTGGGGGGTAGGCAGAATATCGATATCATACCGAAAAGGATTGGGTTTATAATGCATATATTGTGGGTAATGTTATCGAAAGAAAGATGGTTGACAAGACTAATGAAAAGAGGAAGAAAACAACAAATCTTGTAAGAGCCATTATTGGAAGTCATGATCGCGGTCTGGGTTGGTGGGTCGGGTCGGATTTGAATAGTGGCACAACGACCCAGTACCAATATTCGTAACCAAGAGCAGGTGAACGGAAGGAGTGATGAAGTCAAAACTTCCCGACAGAGTGTGATAGTGGTGGGGACGTTTATTTAGTTTGGAGAGGAAAATGAAATATGACCATTAGTTTAAAGGGAATATGATGATTTGTTGAAGTGGGAAGAAAGTGTCAAAAACAAATTTAATCATGAATTGTGTCCATCATAATTAAATGCATGCATTTTCTAGTTTTTATTTGTTATTGATGTTCATTTTCTATAATGTGAACATATATTTTAAAAATTATATACTGTTACAGAAAAATTTAGATGACATTTGATTCGTTGAAATCTGAAATAATGTAAAGAATTGGTATGGGTCAGTTTCATTGACCAAATTCTATTCATTTAGTACGGAATTCCAATTCCACATATAATGGAATTTAAATTCCTTGGATTCTTGTACAGAATTCAAATTTTCGTTTCATCCAATTATTTAAGAAAGACTATTTTGTTCTTATATCGTCACTACTACAACACTGTTGTTGCCATCACCATTATACCTGTTGTCGCCACCATATAAGCTAAGCAATAAAATATGAAAATATCATAAAAGGGTATTTTAGTAATTCGTTACTACTTTATTATAATTATGAAATTATATTAACCATTTCAATAAATTCCATCTAATATGGTTTACTGTAAAGAGTTGTATTTAATTTGAATTAAAAAGATAATAAAAATGTTTTTTAATCCAATAAAAAAAAAAACGTTGATAATAGGCAGGCAGCATCAGCTGTGAGACAGTCCAAGGTAACTGGCTGTGACATGAGCATTTGCTTTTTGAAGGTGAAATTGATGGCCTGTGAAGAGTTGACCTTCTCGTTTGTCCTCTCCTTTCCCTTTGTGAAATATGACCCACATACACTCCCAACTCCCTTCTCGTTCGACTCCATTACAGTAGCAGGTTTCAGCTTCTTCCTTATATAAACTCTCCATTCTCACTATATACATGTTCATCTTCAACCTCGATCTTCCTTCTTCATAGAAACCACTGTAACTTTGTTCCTTCATTCGTCTCTTCGTATGATTATAGTTCTGCAACTTTATCTTTCTCTTCCTTAATTGAACTTCTATAAAAACCTTCCAAGTATGTAACTTCGAACAATCCATCTATTATTTTCGGTAAAAAAAACCAAAAAGATTTGAAAAAAAAGAGATCTTGCTTCGATCTGGATCGAGTTAAGACGATTGTGTAGAAATACCTTTATAAAAATCGACAAATTATGTAAGGTATTTGCCACTGATCTTTAGATCCTATCTGAAAAAACCCAAAAAAAATTGTTCTTTATTTATTTAGTCGGTAGCATAGGTAATTTGGGAGTGAAGAGGGAATCGAAGTTGTTGGAAATGGAAGGTGGGGATGGGTCAACGCCACCAGTATCAGCGCCGGCAACGCCTGGAACTCCCGGAGCTCCGTTGTTCACATCTCTGCGAGTGGACTCCTTGTCGTATGACCGCAAGTCAATGCCCCGTTGCAAGTGTCTGCCTGTTGACGCCCCATCATGGGGTGCCCCTCATACCTGCTTCACCGATTTTCCTGCCCCCGATATCTCTCTCACCCGAAAGGTACTCCACATTCTTATAGATAATCTTTATGCTTTTCTGGTTACTTAAAAAACTCCCCTGTGCCAATTATCAAAACATCTTGAAGCTAATTTTTCAACTTCTTATCGATGATTGTATAGTTCAGTGTCGAACCAATGTAATTGTAGAGTTAAATTTTGATTGTGGTGGTGGGATATGCAGTTGGGGGCAGAATTTGTGGGAACGTTTATATTGATATTCGCGGCAACGGCAGGACCGATAGTGAACGAAAAGTACACAGGATCGGAGTCGCTGCTAGGAAATGCAGCATGTGCAGGGCTGGCGGTGATGATAATAATACTGTCGACGGGTCATATCTCGGGAGCCCATTTGAACCCATCGCTAACCATCGCATTTGCAGCACTGCGTCATTTTCCATGGGCACAGGTCCCTGCTTATATCTTAGCACAAGTATCGGCCTCCATTTGTGCTTCTTTTGCTCTCAAGGGTGTCTTCCACCCTTTTATGTCTGGTGGTGTGACTGTTCCTTCTGTTAGCACTGGCCAAGCTTTTGCTCTTGAGTTCCTCATAACCTTCAATCTCCTGTTTGTTGTCACAGCTGTTGCTACCGATACTCGTGCTGTACGTATACACATTCTTTGTTTGATCCCTCATGAATATGTTCATAATGTATCTAATTGGTAAATGTGTGTATATATGTATGTATTCAGGTGGGAGAATTGGCTGGTATAGCAGTTGGTGCTACTGTTTTGCTCAACATTCTTGTTGCTGGGTAAGTGTTCATTGGACTTTCTTCTTGCTTGTTAGATTTGAAACGCCATGTACTTGATGATTCTTGTTTGTATTGTAGGAAATCAAGTGGTGCTTCGATGAATCCGGTGCGAACTCTAGGTCCGGCGGTTGCAGCAGGGAACTACACGGTGATATGGGTATACTTATTGGCACCGACACTTGGAGCACTTGCCGGAGCTGCGGTCTACACATTGGTGAAACTTCCGGCGGTGGACGGAGATCAACCACGAAGCTTCCGTCGTTAGGTACTGGATATTGGCATGCAGGGTATATAGTAGCTGCCTCCTTATCTTTATGTGGTTATACGATCGAATAAAAGTGGGGTGCGAATGTGAGGTGGTTGTTATGTGTTACATATGGTGTTGGTTGCTTAATTATTGTAATTAAAGAATTAATGCATGGAGATATTATATATAAAACATGTATGTTTGTGATATTTGAAGTCCAATTGATTTGGGACCAAACTTTGATTCTGAAAAAGTTTTGAGGACCATTAGAAAATTTTGAAACCATTTTGTAATTTGTATATATATTAGATTTTGGAGATGGATGGGGCTCTTTTCATTGAAAAGAGGTTTGGACTTTGGATCATTGGATTGGAATTGGATGTGAAAATGGATTCCCTAAGAGGCCCAGACCAGTTAGTATTTCACTGAAGCCCAAGGAAGTAAGCGAAGATGGCCAAAATGGGCCTGGGATCAGGACCGATTGAGCTGTGCGGGAGCAGGACTACTAAGGATCGATTATGGACCGACGGTCTGGGTCCTCTAGGACCATTTATGATTTTTATGAAAATTCAAGGCCCGGCCCACCTAGCCCGAGAGTGGTTACAGGACCATACTTATACATGGATTCGATTTAAAAAAAAAAAGTTTTAATTAATTATATATCAAGATTTTTACCAAAAAACTAAATTGTTACTTTTAAGTTTTTCAAGTTCTTTTTGGAGTTTTTTGAAGTATTCCAATACTAAATTTTAAAAATCGTAATTATAAAAACATCTATAACATTTTTGTGTGAAAAAGATTTGAAGTATGACCAAAATAGAGATTTAAAAGTGTATTTCAATAAGATATTATACAAAAAGAAATCATCAAACAAGATTTTTTATATGATTAAAATCGATTCTTGGGGCCAAGAAATTTGGGATAGATTTGGTCCTGTTTTGGGACCGGTTCTAAGAACCAGGCTTTGTACATGGAGAACGAGTTAGGCGTTTTTGGTTGACACAACGACCAGCTCTAAAAGAAAAATATTGGAACATGAGCAATTTGAGTCTGACTTGAAATCGGTTTTTGGCCATCTCTAAGCTACTTTGGAGGCTGGGAGAAATCATACAAAGTACGTGTTTTTTCATGAACATGAGAATTGTCATAAAAAATAATATTAAAATATATAACATGTTAACGAATAATTGAAGTTGTTTTATGTATTTCTCTAAAATTAARATAATGAAGATGATAATATCTATGATTAACACCGTCCACAATAAAGATGATTAATCAACCTTTCATTATTACAAAAAAATGAACAAAATGAAAAATTATGATTAATTAAATAAGGTTTGTACGGTTTGTATAAATAACGTGGTTTGCAAAGTAAACATCCTCTCTCTCTCTCTCTCTCTCTCTATATATATATATATATATATATACACATATATAATATGAATATAATCAAATGAGAACCAAAAAAGGTTACAAACTCGTGAGAATCAATATAAAAATAATTTTTCTCATGATTTTTCTTTATCATGACATAAAAATTTGTTTTACATATGTTTGTGTTTACCTTGTGAAAAATATACACGTGAAACTTTTTTTGTTGATTTAGTGAAACGAAAAATATAAGTTGAAACAAATATATGTGAATCAATATCTTAAATTCTAGCATTTAATGAAAAAATGATAAAAAATATTCTTAAATTAGTTCTCACATATATTAATAACTTTTTATGTTTGTTATTTTATTTGACCCCTCTATGTATATATACAAGAGGTTATGCTGCTGAGATGGGATGAGACTAAAATGGAGTTAAGTTAACGTACCTAATCCTTTATGACAGAACCATTCAATTCATTAACAGATTTAACTTGCATGGAGTTAATTAACCTACCTAATCTATTACAAAACATTTTCAATATGAACATGGCCGTGTCTGTAAACTTAACATCGAATCGTCTACTAGATCTCCGGCAACAAAAAAACCCGGAAAAATACAAGCGCTCGCCTTCATGATCGATCAGGAAATACTAACGAAAGAATCTAGAAGATCAATCATGGGATGTGAGTAATTAAAGATAAAAAGAAAGAAAAGGGAAATGAAATGAATAACCGAGGGACAAAGCAAAGGTAGCTAGCAGGAGAAGAAATAAAATACATGCACATGTGAATATAAAGTGCAAGTGTTGATGCATCATCATCATCATATATAAAATATGATTTAATTATTCTTGATTGTGTTTGGAAGTTTCTGCATATTTGTTCTCAACTGGTGGATGCATAGAATCATTCTTAAAAGAAGAAGCAGCAGCAGCTGCTATATATATTTCACATGAGCAGTGGAGCCTAAATGGGGTGATACCAAATTTGCTTCTGAAGCTACTTAATACATCAGCAGTAGAATCATCAATATGCACCAGATCCAATGCTTAACACCTCAGAATTACATATACATATATATACATATATATATATATATGTATATATACATATATATATATATACATATATATATATACATATATATATATATGTATATAATTTATATGTTAGTCAATGATTAAACAGGTATAATATTCGAGAGAGAAGGTAATATGCAATAATGCGGCAATACTTTATAATATAAGTTTATAATATGATATTGTAGGATGATGCCCTTTCCTTTTACTCTTTCTACTTCATAATAATAATAATAATAATAAAAATAATATAATAAGTCAAAAAGACTCTAGACAAAGTAAAGCCCACATGATATCATCACATAATGGCAATTTTTAATCAGTATTATTGCATTTTTTCTTGATTTCATGGATTTGTTAGAAGGATAATTAGCCACTTAATTAAAACACTAATCTAGGCACTAGACAGGCTAACAATACCCAAAGGACATTTAACCTGACAGTATGTAAGTCTTTGACTTTTTAGAAGGTTAAGAGTTCAAAAAACTTTACCAAATATGAGTATGATATGTAAGTTTATTTATTAATTTGCTGTATATAAATATTATCTGCTTATAAAATAAAAAAAACAATACCCCAAAGACGTGCTTTGGTATTTGTTAATTAAAAGATGATGAGATCAATTGGGAGGTGGGAAGAAAGTGCAAAAATAAATAGTAATCAGAAGTGTTTGAATCAAGATCAGATTCATAGGGTTAATTGCACATGTTTTTAATAATTATTATACAAAACCATTTTCACCATTATTTTTAAACCGTAAACTCATTCATTATCTAATAATATTTTAACCAAAACTCAACGAGTACTGATATTCCATCTTTTATCTGATCAATCACGATCGTAGTCTTTGTTGACTTCGTAGTTAGGCTCTCATCGTCACAACTTGGGTTGTGACATTATTAAAGCTTCAAAATCAAGACATATTTTTTACATTTTCGATGAATAAATTGAGTTTATTTTAACACAAAAGAGACAAAAACAAGAAAGTAGTTAAATGAGATATAGCTAGCGACTGCTAGGAGAGAGAATGGTGTGAGGATTATTGGCCTAAGGGTTGACTTTCTACTTCCCTTTCAATTCCATTATACATACATGACCCACATTCCATCGTCCTTCCCGTTCCATTCCAACCTCTGCAAACCCATTCCATCGTCCTTCCCATTCCATTCCACCACCACCAGCTTCATTTCAGCTTTTTAAACACATCCTTTGAAACCATTTTCACTATATATACATCCATCGTCTTCAATCTGGATTGCTCGATTCTCTGTCTTCCTTGATCATATCTTCATGAAAACCAGTGTAAGTTAGCTCTCATTCAGTGATTTCAACCCAGAAAGATAAGACATTGTATGATTACAGTTTTACGATTGTGTCTTTCCTTCATCTAGTTCAGTAATCAAGCCTGGCAATCTTCGAAATTTCTCTTCTTTAGTCTAACATTTATAAAAAACCTCCCCAGTATGTAAATTTAGGCAATCTTTGATTTCTCCAGTTGAAAAAACAGAAAAAGATTTGAAAAAAAAAAAAAGAGATCTTGTTTCGATCTGGCTCGAGTTCAGTCGATTGTGTAGAAATACCTGTATAAAAATCGACAAATTATGTAAGGTATCTGCCATTGATCTTTAGATCCTATCAGAAAAAATCCAAAAAAAAAATTGTAGTTAGTTTCTAGTATAGATAATTTGGTAGTGAAGAGGGAATCGAAAGTGTTGGAAATGGAAGGTGGGGATGGGCCAACGCCGCCAGTATCAGCACCGGCGACGCCTGGAACTCCCGGAGCTCCTTTGTTCACGTCTCTGCGAGTGGACTCCATGTCATATGATCGGAAGTCAATGCCCCGTTGCAAGTGCCTGCCTGTTGGTGCTCCATCATGGAGTTCAACTCACACCTGCTTCACCGATTTCCCATCTCCAGACATCTCTCTCACCCGAAAGGTACTCTTCATTCTTTATAGTTTTAGGGCTGGGTTGTTAGCAGCTTAATGGAATAAGCTTATTTGGTTAGCTATAATCTTTGTAATGATCATATGGTGATGGGGATGTGCAGTTGGGAGCAGAATTTGTGGGAACATTTATATTAATCTTCGCGGCAACAGCAGGACCAATAGTGAATGAAAAATACGCAGGATCGGAGTCGCTACTAGGAAATGCAGCATGTTCAGGACTGGCAGTGATGATAATAATACTGTCGACGGGTCATATCTCAGGAGCCCATTTAAACCCATCGCTGACCATCGCGTTTGCAGCACTGCGTCATTTTCCATGGGCACAGGTCCCTGGTTACATCTTAGCACAAGTATCAGCCTCCATATGTGCTTCTTTTGCTCTCAAAGGAGTCTTCCATCCCTTTATGTCTGGTGGTGTCACTGTTCCTTCTGTTAGTACTGGCCAAGCTTTTGCTCTCGAGTTCCTCATAACCTTTAATCTCCTGTTTGTTGTCACAGCTGTTGCCACCGATACTCGTGCTGTACGTATATGCTTTCTTTTTCTTTGTCATATATATAGAGAGGGAGGTTCAGAGGAAAACCCCCTAAAATAATGAAAAACTAAGAAATAACCTGATAGTCGTTCATCTGGATGGTATTCACATGTACATACAAGTAATTAAAGTCGTTTCTTGGTTTTTATGCACATGTGCATACTGAACAAATTGCTTACCACTTATTTGTATGCACATGTACATACCGTTCAATCAAATGGTTACCGGTGTTCCTCAGTTTTTCATTTTTTGTGGTTTTCTCATAAATCTGACCCGATACATACGTGTGTGTGTGTGTGTGTTTAGAATGTATCTCATTCGTAGATGTGTGCGTATATATATGTATGTATGTACCCAGGTGGGAGAATTGGCTGGTATAGCAGTTGGAGCTACTGTTTTGCTCAACATTCTTGTTGCTGGGTGAGTGTTAATTGGAGTTTCTCGGTGCTTGTTAGATTTGGAATCTTGTTGAAGAAATCATAAATGATAATGTTGTTGGTTAATTGTAGGAAATCAAGTGGTGCTTCGATGAATCCAGTGCGTACTCTAGGTCCAGCAATTGCAACAGGGAACTACACAATGATATGGATATACCTATTGGCACCGACGCTTGGAGCACTTGCCGGAGCTGCAGTTTACACGTTGGTGAAACTTCCGGCAGTGGAGGGAGAGCAGCAACGAAGCTTCCGTCGTTGAGGTATTGGCCTAACAGCTGCCTTTTTATCTTAGTATGTGGTGTGTGATCTTAATAAAAGGGGATATGTGGGTCCCTTAGCTTGGAACTGGTGTGCAACTGCGTGTAACACGAGAGATCGTGCATATGTTTTTATGGTTTTTGTGTTGATTATTGTAATAAAAGAATGATGTATAATATTTGAAGTTGTGATATGTTAATTAGAAATGTACAAGAACTTCTCTTTTACAACAAAGCATAAGAAACACAAACAGTAAGATAGGGGGAACTGGGCAAATGCACAGTTGCACCTCCATATCTATGGACTCTAACCACCCAACTGATCAGGATCTAGTGGAGTACACTATTGGCCACATGGCCTGCACCCAACCCAACACCCTGTGACTAATGCCACTAAAGAGTGCTTACCAGATATGGCTGAATGCCCATAATCCATTAAGAGCGTCAGCAGCAGAGGATGACATTTACACTAATTTGTTCACCAGCTTTTCGAACCTTTGAGCCATGGCCTGATGATTCTGGCTTTCATAAACCTTAACAAGTGACTGTATCGCTCTATTTATTACCTCTTTCTTTTGGTACCAAGTGGAATCATGTTCAGCTTCGAATTGGTTCACAAGAGATAAACATAGTGACCTAAGCCATTCCTCAAGAAATGATGCTTTCTACAAGAAAACAAAATAATAAACATGAGCCTTAAAACCCAGTAAGATGGAAGATATGCAATATTAAAAAAACATTTCCCTCAAATTGTCCCTAGAAACATAGAATTTGAACAGATCATAAATTGCGATTATATAAGAATAACATCATGTTCATAATCAGCAATCTACAATTATTGAGAGGACCCTCTTATGTGAAAGAGCAAGATTAGAAGAATATCGCAACATAAATCAAATGATTTTCAATACAATTCAGAAAATCGTTAGAAATTTTATGAAATACTTGATTCTTTATGCTTGTGACCCACTTGGCCACAAGCATTATCTAATGCACACGTGCAAATACATGATGTAAATCAGACCTTACCTTGATAAGGAAATCGTGTACAGAGTGATGACGATGAGTTACTGAAGCAAGCCCAAGGAGGTGCAACATGGTTGATGTTAGCTGCAGTGAAGTGAAACAAGGAATTAACTACCAATTTAACCAAAAAACTCGAAAAGGTATCAATGTGAGCCACACTATTCCTTGCAGTATCTAAGATGGAAAAGATAGCATCTTGTGATCCTTATAGTTTTACATTACAATAGAAAAATCCTTGTTAGATTTTTCCACCCAAATAACAAACAAGCATCCAAGCCCCATTCTTGAGTGCATAATAATGGAAAATAAACACCAGATATTCAAGCATGTAATCTTGCGTAGGCAAGGAAAGGCCTCAACAACCTTAACCTCCCTTTTGCCGGTTGTCAATGAACATAAAAAACTTGATCTAGATGGCATTATGTATAGCATGTCTAGAAGGAAAAAGATTAAAAAACTCAACCTGTTTCTCAAGTGCAACCCTATATTTAAAACTTGAAGGAGCAAACATCTGGTCTGTACCAAGATTCTCTAGTGTGTGCTCGACCCCTTGAACAACATCTGAGTATGACTCCCCATAATCTGCAGAAACACAATCAAAGAAAGATGAAACAGAATGGTTCAAGTTTCATAGATTGGACACACGAGATGTAATGCAGTTATGGTATATAGAATTCTGTTTATATTTTTATAGTGAGAATTTACGTCTGGACACTCTGGCCCATTATATACCCTATATACCATTTCTCCTTGTTAAAAATTAAAACTTCCTCTTCGTTTTGTTTCATGGTTCTATCCTTGATTTTTTCAACTTCATCCAAGAGCTACATTGTCTTTTTAACTGGTTATTCTACATTACAAAATGATGAGTGTTGCAGTCCTATCATATGGAGGTATCCTGTTTCTAAGGATGTGGTGCCTATTTCACTGCTGCCTTTCAAGTAAACACCAGAAAGATGAAAATATACACACATATATATAGAGAGAGAGTGAGGTTCAGGTGAAAACCCCCCAAAAAATGAAAAAATGAGGAACACCCCGGTAACCATTCATCTGGAGGGTATGCACATGTGCATCCAAGTAAGTTGTAAGCAATTTGTCCAGTATGCATGTGCATAACATGCACATGTGTATAGAAACCAAGAAATGGCTTCAATAACTTGTAATAACTTGTATGCACATGTGCATACCGTCCAAATGAATGGTTACCAGGGTGTTTCTCAGTTTTTCATTTTTCTGGGGTTTTTCCCTGAACCTCCCTATATACATAGGATAAAAAGCAACGAGGGATCAAGAGTATGACTCACCCAGTGTTGTTGCTGGGGCAGCCAATGCAGCTGCAGCTTGTATCCTGATCTTGAAATTAGAAGAATCGCGGAGCAGTAGTAACAGAATACTAAAAACTGAAGGAGCCCTATGAAAACAGAGTGGAGTAACAATCAATCATTCCTACTTTATTGCGCAAGGAACAACAACCACATTCCACCTGTTATGTTCTTAAACATAGTAAATACATACAATCATAGAAACTTAACTGCAGAAAAGCATACATGTAGATCATCATGTTGAAGAAGTGTCAATAAGCACAGGCAAATACAACTGAGCAACTAAGGGAAGGGAAATAATGGACCAAGCCAATAACTTCGATGAACTTCAGAAAGTATAGAACAATTTGCAGTTTCTAGATGAAACCTCAACTTGAACCACCTTAAATTTTTGAAAAAGCAAAAGTAAATATTACTGGATCATCAAAAATCTGCAGTAGACTGATTCTTTGCTTTTCTTTTTATCAGACTATAATAATTCAAAGTAGCAAAACTTTTAATTTAATAAAGAGCAATGGTTATTCTAGAAACAAGTCCCAAGTATGACGGTTACACAAGTAGCACATAATCAACTTGGATTAACCAATCTAAACGAGGTTAAATTCAGGGACAATTTCAACTACAATGCTCTTTTTCATTTGGCATTTAGCAAGTACGAGTGATTGTTTGAAAGCTAAAGCCAAGTATGATGGTTACAACATATTGTCACTCTTAAGTCTTAAATACATATCAGCACAGCTTTATTTACACTAAAGACAACATGCTAAGATCACATCAGCATTTTGACAACAAAATAAGTGATATTCAACTGCTTACCAATCTGTATCTTGCAGTTTTAATGTCTCATTAAGAAATAAGTTGCTCAATGCATGGCAAACATTCCACCGTACCTGTTTGTTTATCAATGCCAAAGCTTTAGAGAAAAAAACCATAATTCTTCAATTACAAAAAAGATTTCTCAAGTTAATGTTTCAGAGTCAAGGAATACCTTCACATTTCCAGTTGTAACGCAAGAAAGAAATGCCTGCACCATTCTTTCCAACCAACGTGAGTCTTCCCACGTTCTTTGCAGAAATGAAGTGGATACGAGACATCTTTCAGTTTCTGCAGAGACATGGTTTGGAGACTTTCCAGCATGTTCAGTGTCTATATGAAAGCTTGTATTGTACTCTTGCATGCCATGACCATGGCTTGAACAAGGAACAAATCTTGATAGATTACCAAGGGCTCTCACGGCATTTGCTTTGATCTAATGCAGTGATAACACAACATGTGAATTAAAAGAAACAGCAGTAGAAAAAATCCAAGATTGAAAATGGTTGAAGATGTGTCCCTCATCACCTTCCCTAGATTAAAAACACCCAAGATGGGAATCACATACATTACACATGTTTACCTTATCACCGTCCCTTGTAAGCCGCAGAGAACAATCAATGAGCAAAGAAACCATCCTAGAGCAATCCATCAGATCTAATACACATCAAAGACAAATGAAGTTAAGCAAATGAACATAGCATACAGGTAGTATAGTCTACTGCAAGTTTGATACTCACCTCCAGAAGACCCTGTGGATGTAAATCTATCAACAAAGTGGCGGAGAGAATCACACAAGTTAGCTAAAGCCCAGGAGGCTGCAATGCGAACCTAAAAGTAAGCAGATACAAAAAGTTTCAGCTGACAAGATAGAAATGCATCAAACATGATGAAAGAAAAAGATGACATACAATGAAAGAATGATTACCGAGACCAGAGAATGATGGCTATTGACTTCAGCAGCATTAATAAACTTGCAAAGGATCTCCACACTGTACCATTCAAAAAATAAGGCTCAAACAAACTAGATAATGTCTCAACTCTTAAACTTCAGATAGCAGATGGAGATCAAGGTGATGGCCTAGTTGTAAGGCATCTTCCTAACCTGAGAGCATGCAGGGTTTGAGCCTTGTCATCTCCTCATAATTTACAAAAACATGAATAGTAGCTTAAATGAAGCCCATCATACATAGGAATATAAGATATCGCCATTCAGGGCTTCATGATGAAACTAACAATTGATGCTCTCTTATCAAACGCCAATTTCTTGGATATCCCGAAAGCTCTCTTCTTGGCAAATATTTGAATTGGTTTATCTAAATGTCTTCCGTTAGAGACAATAACACAATCATAAGCTGTTGCCTCATCTTTTCCTTAATTCATGCCACCTCGTCCTTCTAATGAATATCCTCATTTATAATCCTATTTATCACTGGGAATTAGAATTTGTGAAGGACCAATATAGGAAGTTAGGTTTTGGGGTGGCCATTAATTTTCCATGTTTGAGCACTAAATGTAGGGTGGGCATTAGGAAGACGATATCATGGGTGAAAGAAATAGACAACATACTCCAGCAAGAAAGCAGTAATGCTAGAGGCAAACTCTCATACAAACATCAAAGATTACATCAATATGCCCTTTACCCAAAACTAGGTTAAAAAGGCCATCCAAGCTCACACGTAAAAATTATACATCACTCTATTGTTATGAATAAGGATCAGAGCCATATATAATGGAAGTGTGCATTATTGACATCTAAATAGCGTTATGATGTATTAAGTACAGTAAAAATGAATACATTTTATAATAACAAAAGATACAGGTTTAGTAACCTGAAATACTAGAATCCTACGCCCTACAGCATACTTCCTATGTCTCATGAAAATTGCAACAATAATAGGCACACATCTTGACGAATGGGTTGAAAATACAGGATTAGTAACCCATCCTCAAAATAAAAGCAATGTGTAACTATTAATTAGAAAATGAAAATTTTAAATTTATTATCATTTCAAATTTGATGTACCTGTTAGTAGGAGACAAACAGGTAGGTTCGATTATGATGTTCATATAAAGCAAAACTCAGACACTCCTCACCTTTGGTGAGCCTTGAACCCCTACCTCTAGGAAGGTTCGATTACCGGGTACCGCTAGACCAATGGCCCTTTGGTTCACCAGCATCTAACTAACTAGCTAACTAGTCTTTCAGGTTTGGAATCTTCTCCAGGAAAAGGCAATGTTACAATCAATATGGACCATTCTAAAATGAAAATTGATGCATCGTTCTTGGGACGAAGGGACTACTAAATAATAGATTATATTTATATCTTAAATCATAATACCCAACTTCCCAATATTAATTTCTTAGAACAACCTTAATTCCATATATTTAACATCATATACAATTGAAACTTTCTTCAAAAACACAATTAGCTGAAACTCAAAAAAGTAGAAAGTCAAAGTGGAGAACCAAAGTACCTCTTAAAAACTTGTGGAAAACATGCAATTACGCCAATGGCACGACAAGCAGCAGATCTTACTGATGGGACCTCATCATCAAAAGCAGCATTGATCTACAAACTTTAACATAAGTATAGTCCATATAAATGAAGAAATTGTGCTGTGCGTGTCAATATATAAGGTACTTGAAACTAGTTCTATCCCACATTAAGCGTACCCCTTTGACCTTCCAAGAAAAAAGCAAGCCATATAAATTACCTGAAGTGCTCCTATGATGGGTTACGTCATAATTTATAAATGTTGTTGCATTAATTTACAGTCAGCAAGGGAGAATAAAGTATTTTAATGTTTCCAAGAGCATCTGATGACTACATAGAGATTAAATCAAGTTATACGGTGATTCTGAAGCGCATTATGAGGACTTCATCATAAAAAATTGTTCAACAGGGGAATTGATATCTGATATGGTGATAACGAAAATAGTAAGGCCGGCATCTATAGTAGGATGGTTTAAGCATGAGATGATCTTGTTAGACTCTTACAGAATAAGTGATAATCTGATGCTGCTTGTCCTCCGGAAGGGAAACGAAAACACTGGACGTTATTCCAGCAAAACAAGTAACTGATGCAGCCCTCATCTTCCAAAAGAAAAGCAAAATGTGATTAGCACCATGTAAATGTACGATTAACATCTTTTCACATTGACTAATCACTAACATAGCACACTCATTTTTTCTTAGGATAGCAAAACGGAGGGAGAAGAACCTAAACAGTTAAAGAAGAAAAGAAAGGAAAAAAAAGAAGTCTTGGGCCAAATGGCAGCAAAACAATCATAAAGAATATCAGATTATGCGACCAAATCCTACAGGCAGAAAAATTTATCACATTTCAGCATTTAAGGAATGACGGGTAATGAGAAAGTGGTTTTATCCATTTTTTCTTTTCCAGTAAGGTGTCTATGGAATAGAACTTACAGTGGGCACAACATAATTGGAGGGAAATGTACAAAATCATGAAAAAATAGCATAACAATAATTCTAGAAAGATAAATAAAAAAGAAGACCTCAAGAAAGCATTATTATAAATCGCGAGAACTACTTAAAACTGAGCAAGTCCCTTGATTTTCCATGACATGATTATCATGCTATATACTAGATTACAGTATGCACAACATGTTCAAAGAGCATTGTTATGATGGATTTAAATTGACATAGCAGAGGCATGCCAAATGCAAGATACAAACAAAGAGAGAGCTAAAAATTAAGCTTAACATTATAATCACCGGAAGTTAAACAGTTCTTTTTTTGCTTTCTGTGTCTCAAATTGTTCCATCATTGCTAGCTTCTCTTTGCCTGTGTTACCAGAAGGCAATGGGCACATTTTGATAGCATATACTTTTATTTCCTTTCTAATTGATATGTAATAGAATATTAATAATTAGTATACTATCACTTAGGGGGTGTTTGGTTTGATGAAATGGTTTTGAGAGATTTGAAAGGATTTTGAATCTTTGGTTTGTGAAATCCCGAGGTTCAAATCCAAGCAATCCATCAAACTAAACATGGGACTGGAATGGAATTGAATACCAAATCCCTCCAAATCCTTTCCAATCCTACAAACCAAACAGGACCTTACCGTTCATTTTGTCTCTTTGCTTAATGTATATGTCTCATTCTTCCATGCATATGGTACAATGAAGTATCAATAACAAGAAGTGAACAGTAACACCACTCTCTGTTAACAGATGTTAGTTTGTCATGTGTTGCCCTTCTATTTCGTTTTAGTAGATTCTAAATGTTTGCAGGCACAACTTTTATTTATGAAGAAATTGGTAAGTTAACTTCCAACTGAGAAGTATAACACAAGCGTTTGATAGGAACAACAACTACACGAAAAATAAGAGACACATGACACCTACCCATCAGTCTATATGAAGTGTTTATGCTTCCTAGTTCTAAAAAGTTAACTGTAATTGTGATAGAAAATGAAACTACAGCAAATGGGGATGTACACCAATCTACCATCGACTATCGTAATTTCTTTTAATATTTTGCAGATGGGTCACTTCCACAAAATAAGAGCATATTTAATATAGAGAAACTACATCAACTGATAGTGTCATTTCTCGTGATAAAACTGTAACATACTGTAGATAACCGACAAACAGAAGAAAGAGCATATCATATAAAGATAAAATGGAAGATAACAACTGCTATAACCAACCATGGCTGAACTATGAAAGAGAGTTGATGATAAATGCTTTTCAATAGCTTCACACCACTGCTGGCTGCCAGTCGCACAAGCTGGATGATCATCGCTAGCTACTAGTTGGTTCTCCAGTCCATATGATGGAGCAGATGATATCATCTTTACTTTGACGTAATCATATGTAAAAGGGCTGCTAAGTAGTTTATCATCAGAAAGATCTTCTGTTCCTTTAAATCCACAGATAGCACGAAGACATTCATCCAGCAGCTGTGACACAGATGATACAATAATCAAACTCTTTTGAAGAACCCAGACGTGTTTAAATAATGGTAGTTCACAAATGCATGAAGAAATATGAAACAGATGAGAAACAATGCCAATAACCTCAACAAATTGGACATGGGGAAAGATGTTTACAACAGAAATCAATAATAATTCCATTATCAGAAACCATTTGAGAATATCAACCCAGTGCAACTGTGCAAGGATGCTACCAACGCACTCCCAAAATGGACTTGGCAGGATTTGTTGATTACACTTGCCAGATTATTTTTGTGGGAAGACTTAGAAACCACATCAAGTGGACGTCTCTTGACAATTCAGTCCATACCTAGCATGGGCCTTAGAGCAATAATAGGACCTTCCCCTAGTCTGAGAAGACAGAAAAGGATGCACCTCTAGAGATCATATAGCAATCTCATAACCTCGGGCCAAATAAATAAGCTATATTAAAAGGGTCAACCTAGTGCTGCTATTAGGAAATACATATCTTAGTAATAACTGATGACACTGATGAAATAGTTTCCTAGTAATATGAAATCAACAAACAATGTACTAAAACTACAAGACTTGACCCTATCTGTTGTTTGCTAGTGGTAAAGGCTTGGGCATGGCATAGTCATGAACCCGAGTTCGAGCCCTGGGAGGGGAGTGTTGGCGACATTTAAATGAGGCCATGTTTAGCCTCCAAATTTGCCGGGGATTAGTCGGGCTTTGGCCCGGACACCCTTACAAAAAAAAAAGTATACTCGCCGTCTCAAAATAAATGCAAAAATTTACATCTTGGATCATCCCAAAATAAATGCAATCTTTCTTCTTTGAGTAATACTGTAATCCACTATTACTTCTTTGCCTTTTAGTAATCACTAATAGCATTGATTACGGTCACAATTCCTCTACCTTTTGCCTTAGTTGAAGGGCATTTTTGATATTTAACCCATAGTCGAACGCTTTTATTAATTATGTATCTAGTCAAACATGAACTAAACTTGGGAGGAGGGAGTACAGCATCTTTTCATCTAAATGGCATCTTTGAGTTCTGTTGACTCAGAAATAAAAGAAGAGAAATACAAAAAAAACAGAAAACAAGAGATAGAAGATTAAAGAAGCTACAACATACTGAAAGAAGAGAATGATTCAGAAAAGGCAAACCCCTTGCAGGTCCCAAAAATATGGGCCATATCTGCATGTTCTAAAACTGCTTTAAGCAGCAGCCTAGGCATCAATATGCTTTGATTTCATTCATTAGGCTTTACTACTCATCTTTCCCTATTAAGCAAGATTATGTGCACTATGAAATAGGGTTACACGGCCAAGCAGGCTCTTAAGATGGACGATGTTGTTAATACAGTGAAGAAACAATTAAAAAACTAGTATCAAATAGTTGAATTTCCAAGCCTCATATCAATACTTTAATTGCAGTGGTTGCTTTTGACATGTTATATCTACATATTTAGCAAGGCAAGATACATTCTAAGGAAATCGTTAACTAAGCTTGGCTACAGCTCATTAATCCAAGCTGTATAGTTGTGACTCAATAACATTAAACTGCATAGTTTTGTTTTGAAAAATACATGAAGACTGGTATTACCCCTAGTTTCTAAAAGGTCTCTTCTGTTTTTTCCTTCTACAATCATAAGCACAGCTTCTTCACTTTAAAACCTTAAATGTTTCTTCTGTGTTCAATTCAATCTGGTACATTACAACCAAACTTTACTTAACAATGATTGCTCAACGATGATTGAATCAAGTAATCCACGAGTATAATGCATATGCTGGTTATTGAATTTCAGTTTCTATTATGCTAATTGCTAATTCATTCTATGGGAAGACAAACCAATATTTATTTTATGTTCTGAGTCTCACCTTGATTGCACTGGTTATAACTTTTTCCCCAATTGTCCCAACAGTTTGTCCAGAATTTACTGTCCCAGCCCTTGATGAGCCTTCAGGAAGAAGAGGGTCCAAAAATTCACAAATGATGGAAGAGACTTGTTTCCAGCAAAGAACCATTATATCTGGGTAATTGTGTGCCACAGCTTTAAGAACCTGCAGCAAGCCAATAAGAATTTCAGTTACTACAAGAAGTAGTGCATTAATTGTGAGAAAAAAAATCCTAAACTGAGGTACAGAAATGAAAATAATCATGGTTATAACTACCAATTGAGTGATTAACTTTCTGAACCATCGTGCACGACTTCTGGTTGAAAACAAACCTTCCTTCTTGTGAATGTGAAAATAACAATGTTCTCAGCAAGAATATGCGGTTTTCAACAAAAACTAATCTATGATTAAGTTGTATATCTATATTTGCTGACATGGCAAAAAAAATGAGTGACCAACATTTTGCCTATCACTTCATTGCAAATTAACCAGCTTGGAAATTCAAAAGACATTGAACCTTGTTACAAAGAGCAATTTTGAACAAGTTTTTACCATGGTTAAATTAAATCATCATGATGGACATGTCACCGTAAACTAACTTCCTCCAAGGACAAACCACTGATCAAGATGTTCATCATCAAATACTGTGTGGATGCATTCTCATACGGTTGTTTGTAATTGTAGTTCTTCTTTCATATCAAGTACACAAAATAGATTGATTGGTTCCATGAGTGAAGATAATATTATATAAATCTTAGAACCCAATTCAAACTAATTCCCATAAAACATTCATCGACGTATTTGAATTTTGGCGAGCAAGAGCACGACAGCATTGTGGCAGTGTATACATTTATGAGGGGAAAAATATTGTAGTATTTTACTTCTCAGATCTTCTTGCTTCCATGCACATGCACATATTGATGATTACATATAATTTCTAGGGATAGAAAGACATTGAGATGGTAACATCTGTTGATTTCTTTAACCAATCTATTAAGTCAATTGCTTTGTTCCATTAAGAACATTCTATTTCAAATAATCACTTATATATACATTTTGTATCAAGTACAACTCATGATGTTTACAAATGGAACCTTCAGAACTGCATGCGATCTGATCAAAGGATTCTTGACTCAGGGACCCTCATGGAAGTTCACCGTGATACCAAGGACCATTTACATGATTCAGATTAATTACAATGAGGATGAGAATTTGAAGTCAACATTACCTGGAGAGCCTCAAGGCTAACAGCTGGGCTTGTAAATGGTCGAGAATAATGAAACAAAGTAGAAAGAAGACCAGAACATGCTTTATTATTGTTGGAACCTGGAGAGGGTACTTATTAGGGACAATATATGGATGGAGAGAGTAAGTATATGGGTGTGTTTGCAACATAAGCAATTACAAATACATGAATACATATGTAAGTAGCAACATATATAGCACTGAAGTCTACCAACAAGTACCATAGAAAGAAATGATGAATCTTGTCATACAATAGAAAGTATTGGGTTTACTAGTGTGAATATTTAAACATTCAAAAGAATATGCATTACTGACGAAAAACCATATATATACAAGTAAAAGAGAGGCTTAACCGAATACAAACTAATCACAATAAGAATATGACAGCAAACCTGATATAGCTAGGATTACTAACTCTATCTCCTAATATTCCTCAATTTGGAGACTAAATGTCAACCATCGACCATTCGAAATTAACAAACAAATCGGAATTTGATGTTCAAAATCAAAGAAGCTCATCCTCTTCCCATAGTTGGATCACGTGGAAGACTGGTGCTTGTAACAACCAGCAGCTCCATTTGCATTAGGAGCACAAAGAAATAAACCGTGGACCATATGAGCAGCAGGAAGGAATAAAGCCAAACAGAATAAAAAGATATACAAGTAGAAAGCATACCTAGCAATAGCATCTAAGCAACAGAAGCAACGGGCAGAACAAACTGTGTCAAAAAGAGTCCACCCAAAAAACCAAGCAGTTAATAAACCAGCCTAAAGATGAGAGTACGACCACCCAAATTTAAAAGAACGAAGAGGTTGTTAAGAGAGGTAAAGGTAGGCAAACATTGAAACCAGGAGGGGATAGTGAAGAGGGGTTTGCATGAGTGTTCCCTATCAAAAAGAGTTGGCTCACATTGGAGTGCATGTAAAAATGCCGTACAAGTTATGGAGTCCTAGCAGGTTCAGCTTTTTATTTTCACTTTTGTGGAGCACCAAATCGTAACTTCTTTTAGCTTCATATTTAGCCTACCCCAACTGCTTTGGGATAATAGGCTTGTTAAAACAGCAGCACGACTAGAAATAACTTGGCAGAGATCAATCAGCAAATAGATTTATTTACCATACAAGCCAGCCTACACAATCCCCATGATTGATATCTAAGAAAATGTTCACCATTTTCCCATTGTACATAGACAATGTCAAAATGCAGAATAAGGGCTTTTTAGTTCTGACTATGTGCTTATAGCCTCTTACTTCGTAAGTAGTGCTTACATGATAAGAGATAATGTTGTTTAAAACCACCTTTTGACCAACAAAAGTTGCTAACCAAGATGCTGACCCAGTAAGAGTATATTACCCAATCAGCGCTTACTCAATCTTTTTAAGCAATTACCACCACCTTTTGACCAACAAATGTTGCTAACTAAAATGCTGACCCGGTAAGAGTATCTTACCCAATCAGCGCTTACTCAATCTATTTAAGCAACTGGCCCCTAAGTCTAGCAAATGGTAGCTTTCAACACATAAAAGAAATTAAATATCAAAAGAGATAACGAGAAGTTAAAGGCCACCATAGATCTACTTGATCTAAGACTACTTGGAGCATAAGCATTGAGACAAAAAAGTATAATATCTATCATGCTCTCCATACATTATGCATCGATTAGGGAATTTAACCTGTAGATAGTTCCGCTACTAACATTTCATTCACTTTGAGCGAAGAAGGCGAGACAGATAAAGCATCCATTAAGCAACTTAGAGCAACAGCCTGCAACAAATTTGTTTACAATCATAATTCGTTATGTGGTTATGAAGAAAAACAAGTGACAAGTGGTCTGAAATTGTAATGCAGGCTTTTCCAAAAGAGATTAAGAATGTATGGAGTGCAACTAAGGTGACAGAGAAAAGATAATGCTATTCTAAAACCAACATGTGCATAAGGAAACCCCAAGGCTTCAAACTTAGTCTTTGGTCTAAGATTCAATTCCTCAAACGCTTTCTGGGGTGCAAACCTTTACAAATATATATTTATATATTAGCTGAGAGTATTTTCATCATTTTCGGTCATTTTGGTACAAATGACATCAAATTGAAAAGAGAATGGCCTCCTTTAGCATCTTTCATAGTTAGGTGGCCTATTTGACACATGCTGCAAACTTCTGAGGCCTTCTTGTATACTATCCCAAATATTGTTGTTTGGCCAAATGCCATTCACAATAACCAAAAGAAAGATATGTGATATCAGAACACTAACCAGCAGCCCAGTTTGATCATTATATGTAAGAAATCCCTCAACCATCCTCCCATGAAGATTTAATATGACTGTAGGCAACAACTCATCAGGCATTCTTGAGTATCTGTTTGATAATGATGTAATACAGTAACCGTCAGCTTATGGAATTGGAGACTGGCGCAATGGATAATCAGCATTAGCAATCATACTATTTTACAAGACTGGCTAAACTAGACAGTGCTTATCATTGACCTTGAACAATGTCATTTTACATGTTCCAGAACTATAGAGGAAAGTTGGGTCTGGATTGCAACTAAAAAGAAAAGGTGGATCTGATTGCGCTATTAGTACAAGTCACATGGGTGATAACAATAGTTTTCTACACGAGGATATAAACGATTCACATGAAAATAAATTTGTAAAGGCAATCACACACTACAATACTACATAAAGCAACTGTGGCAGGTTATCAGCTTGAAGTGATAAATGTACCATAGTGCCAGTTACATGCAATCATATCAGAGTTTTGTGGACAAGACATTATTTGTGTTAGAAGATGATAAGATGATCTTAAGATTTAATTAGAAGTTCTTAATTCTGGTTTCTCCAACATGACTTTCATCTGAAGCCTACGAAAACAAAAAAGCCATCATGGCTGAGGGGGATAGCAAAGAAGTCGAATCAACATCTATCACTTCCTAAATTTTAATAGTATTGTATCTGTTGTAATTTGTACATCAACATTTTACTATTTTGAAAAGAAAAAAGAAGACACTAAAAAGATAAAGCAATTGGAATGGAAAGTGAAGGAAAAAGACTTTACAAACCATTACAAAACAAGAAGGAAAAAAGAAGATAGAAATACTTCAGCAACCATGAGATGATGAGGAGAATTCTTACGGTGTACATGAGATCAAGAGGGCAAGAATCTTGAACAAGGAGGTCAGGAATCCATTATTTTTTTCATTCTTAATTAAATGCAGGATACCTAGAAGAGATAAAACAACATTAAAGCATAGTTAAGGCATACAAAAGACAAGCACGTTAAAGAAGTTAAACGGAGGCTCATGTTGAAAGAAAAAATTAAAAACTGTTAGACCGAAGGCTTCAAATACCCGTGTGAAGCTGCATTAAAATCTGACCAAGTGAGCTGGAAAGAGCAGTAAAAGATCCCAACTTAGTAGATTCCTTGTATTCTGCCACCTGGAGAAAAACAGATGCAGGCCCCTCCAACATGGTTGCCAAAGTAAATGCAGCTGCAATGCGTGCCTGCAAAGCACAAATTAAGTACAAAAGTCAGGCGCATCAGTACCTTGTAGCAGAAAAACATAATAAAGGTATCCCAGTTGGTAACAGCAACAAGAATAAATGCAACTAAGAAAGCCTAATCAAATCATTACATAACACACTAAGGAAAGAAGAGGGAAGACCAACATTCATACCTTAAGGTATGGATCAAATAGCAAACATGTCATCAGGTTTGCTTCGTACCTCCTGTCATGTAGCACGCCAAATGCATTAGAGTTTGATGCTAACAGTACCAAACTAAAAGATACAAAAAAACAACAAAGATAGCATCATCTTTTACCTTGCTTGCAGCACATCACTGGAGGGCAAAAGTATCGTCCATTGGGCAGTAAACAATTTGGGATCAGATCGACAAAGATCCTTTCTTGCAAAATAGAACATGCATATCAATTAAAATACATATTGATGCTTCTTCTTGCTCCTAAATATTTATAGAGCTAACCAAGATTTGTAAGGATTAACCAGCAATTTAACTTGTTTTTCAGTGTATAAGCTATGAATAACCCAATGCAAGAGAACAAACCATATAGAGATCCATGCAAGATCCATGCAAGATCATTTGACGCACATATGAGAAGATATATAGGCAAAATCATAATTTTCACCTATTCCCAACCCTAACATATTAAGGTAGAAGATGAACCTCATAAAGTAAACGATGACAACTGACATTTATATGTCGTTTTGTAGAAGATCGGTAGAAATATATATACGGCTTGCAAGCTGCGAGTACTTGAAGGATAACAAAGTCTCATGGTTTATGGAACTGTTGAAGCCATCAAGTTGGAAGAAAAATTGGATCATAAAATAACGAAGCACTAACTACTTTTTACGAAATCTAAAAAAATATTTGATTACTTAAACAAAAGGCTTCTAAAAACAGGATGTGCCAAAAAGAATGCTTTGGGAAGCAACCTTGATTCCAATTGCTGGAACTACTATCATATCCTATCTTTGGCTATATTGTCGACAAACATGGCCACAATAACCCAAAGGCGCTCACATAGGAGACTTGTGATGAAGAACAAAATGAAAAAGCGCCAGACATTGACAAAAGAGAGCTAATACTGCTTGACATGATGATACTCAACTGAAATGTTTGGAAATTCTCTTGTATTTTAGGTTCGTATCATGGTACCCCCTCATATCAGGACTCAAGTAAATTTATAAGGATGTTAACAATCTAAAATTTAACCACCAAGTTTGACAATGGAGGGCATGGTACTTAATGTAGCTGCTATAGTAAAGAAGTCCTCCGCTTTTAAAAGATGCCAAGTGCAAACCAATCACTTGGTTCAAGGAAAGCCATAAACATTATGAGGAGATGGTACTGCTCCATAATGAGTTAATGGGGTGCCACTGCCAAGAGTGAAGGTTAAAAATATCAACTGGTGATTATGCTTCAAGAGACGCCAAATACATTACAAAACAGTCCTGTTTCATTAATAAGTTTATGAGGTGGCTGCGTACATCCCACAACTCAGATTCTGCTTTCAAGTGGTACTGGATTCGATCGGTTTGGTTTGGTTTTATTTTAGGGGTAGTGGCAAATGTGGTAACATTGCAATTGATATCCAAAGAAGGAAAAAAAATGTTGTGTACGAAGATTAAATTGGTCCAGAGACAAACAGTCTTCTGCAGACTTATTGGACCCTACCTCACTGGCTAGAAGTGGAAGATTGTTTGGATTACGTCTCCAATGCAAGAGGAAAATGTTTAGTTGCCTATGTTGAATCAACATAAATACATGAGCAGTATTGTTGATTAAAAAATATCAAGGACAGACATGACCTCCACGACACCTAACTAATACTGGAAGCAAATTCCTACTTGATGAAACTTTGTGGTAAACATCACAGACACAGAAGAGCATTGGAAATGAAAACAAACGCTGAATCAAGTGGTAGCAGTAAATACCTCTTCTTTGACTATTAAGATCAAGTTAATTCTTTGTGTCTCAAAAATCGAGTCACCAAGAATGAACTATATATAGAGAGAGAGGGAGGTTCAAACGAGAACAGTGTGAAAATAAGAGTACACAGGAACGTCTATAGCACAAGTGATTCTAGACTAAAAATCACAAGTGATTCAGCACACCTGCACACTTGGCCCAGCGACCTAAGAGCATTGACCAAACCTGTATCACATAAAATCACATGTGACTTTTAGTCTAAAATCACATGTGACTTTTAGTCTAAAATCACATGTGACATAGGTGTTCTCGTGTTCTCTTATATTTATATATGTGTGTGTGTGCATGTGTGTGTGTATGTGTGTGTGTTGTAACAATAATTAGAGTACTTATGAGTTGTGTTCAAGTAAAAGAAGAACTATCATACCTGTATGCAAACTATAGCAGCTACTCTAACCTTAGAGCTTCGGTAATTGCTGATACCTTTAGCGGATCCATCACTGTCACTTAAATCAGAATCAGATGACATATAATCTATAGTTGCAGGTGGACAGTCCAATATGCTCAAGGAGTTGGAATCTTTTGACTGCGTCCCTTTTTGGTTCTTTTTGCGCACATGTGGAGGCCTATAGGGAGCACTACTGGATTCAGAAGAATGAGAATTAAGGGTTGAGATCTTGGCATCCTTCTTGTATACACCCGCCGGTAAGACATTTTGCGATTTACTAGTAAGTCCATAACCAATAAACATCCTCAGTGCAGCAACAAAACCAGCAACCTGTAAGGATCCGTACACCTTGTGAAATAAATTAGAGAAGAACAGATAAAGGACTGAGATATATATGATCCTTGGTATGGCAGAAACAGAAAAAAACTATTAATTACATCAAAATTAAGTACAACAATGAGAAGCACAGCATCACTAAAGGAGAAACCCAAAAATTACATGGTCTTGAAGGGATCCTTTAGCATTTACTAGAACCAAGTGCAGGCAATGCAGAAGCGAGGTATAAAACCTGCAGAACAGAAGCAACATTCACTTGCTGACCAAATTCAGTATAATTGTCCAGATAATAAATTACCTGGGAAGCAAAAGAAGACTACCTATCCATTACATTGCTTTCCACGAGCAGACCCTTACTTGCCAGTACATCAATAATATTTCTGAAAGCCTGATGCAGTAGAGAAACATCTTATTTGAACACAGCCTAAAAATATAAATGTGACAACTAAGCAATGGAAAATGCGCACATCAACTGTGGATTGCCAATGGTCAGCTGGTAAAGAAGTCCCAACTCTTGAGAGAATTTCACTAATCATGGTAAAAGCGGTTGTCTGAATTTCCCATAAGCTATTTCTCCGAAGAATCATCTTCCGAGATTCAGGAGCGCAACCTTGAATGCCACTTGAAAAGCATGGAGCTAGAACATTTTGAGAGAATGAAACTGTTTTGAGAAGAAAGTCCAACAGTTGCACATTGTCCGATAATATGATTGTTCTCTGATTAACATCAACAAGAGACCTGGACAAAAACTTGCAAGTTTCAAATAAGTAAAATTAAGAAATTAGCAGAAATATTTAAGAATACAGGATATTTGAAGAAACCAGACCGAGAAATTCTTCACAAATAAAGCTGTAATCTGAAATGCAGGCGCATGCCCTTGACTCCTAAAAGGGCAAACATGCAACTTAAAACTTGTAGGGCTATCACTTGAAACCAATCAGGCTCAAAGCCCCAAACTTCGCCTGCTTATAGTCCACATGAACTTAAACAAAATTTCAGGCATGTTTGACAAGCTAAATGCAAATATAGCCAGCATGGCTCATGAGCTCGTGCACTTAGCCTGTTTAAGGCACACTTAGGTTAGTGAAGATAAGCTAGGTTTAGCTTATTGTCACCATATTTATCGCACAAAAAAATTATATTTGTTTTGATCAAGCATTTTGTATATTCTTTGTAAATAAAAAAGAAGCAACACAAGTCTTCTGCAAATTCAATTTTATTTTTAAAACATCATAGATAGATACATATTATAAATTAATAGTCTCATTTTCATCCGTAAATGTATACAAAACCGTAAGTCTTCACTTCCACAAAATCAATATGTGTAAGATCAAAACAGTCTCATTTAGCTTTAATGCTGGGGATCCACTTCTCAGGCTTGAGCTTGAGGTTCGATTCCAAAGAAGGAAACATGGCAACATGGTTAGATCCTCTTAATGTTTAATATCTAGGGTAGAGTTCCGGTGAAAACACCTCAGAGCCCGTTGATCTCTTTTGATCCGACGGACCTGATCACACGTGTTTCTGTAAATGAGAAGCACTTTCTTCTTTTTTAAGAAAAAACGAACCTTCGTCTACCTTTACCACCTTTGTCCACCTGCATTCGCACACCTTCACCCACCTTCATCTACCTATGCATACCTACTGTATCACCATGACTTTAAAAAACTCATGCATGTGAAGGTTACTAAAGGTATGTGAAGGTAAGGTGGATAAAGATGGTAAAAGAGAATGAAAGTCCGGTCCCCAATAAGCCATGCTACTAAGTTCCATTTATTTACAAAAATGCCACTGAGTTTTTGTGAGCCATCAGATAAAAAAAACTCATCCAAAAGGCCTAGAATTGTTCTAACCATTCTCACCAAACTCAATTGTTCTCGCACGATCCTAACTCTCTTTCTCTCTCTATATATATATGTGTGTGTGTAGGGGTGGGTTTGAGGGAGAACCCAAAAAACAGAGAACGAAGAAATCCATCTCAAACATCCATCTAATTCAATCCTATGGATTTTATTACATGATTTCTTAATTCAAAATAGCATTAAGATAAATTGAATAAAACTATTTCTAAAACTAAAATAGATTACCCTTATTTTTAAATCTAAAATATTTAAATTATAATAAATTTTAAATTAAAGATATTATCCCAAAACAAGAATTTTATTCTCTTTAATTTGACATCCATATTGATATAAAAAATTTCGAGTTTTTTAACAGACTCTTCAAATTAGCAAGAATTGCTCCGACACCACTTGTAATACACATTCACATGTGTGTATGTGACTATACTCATATATATGAGTAAATGCCATTTATATGTACATTTACTTGTAGAGATCATTTGTAATGTACACTCTAGGTAAGACACACGATTCTTGCCTGATATTAATGGTTAATCACACACACCTATAATATATATATATGTGTGTGTGTGTGTGTGTGTGAATATATGTGCCAATATCCAAATGACTACACATGTAATGTATTTACATGTGAATATACTTGGTCATTTATAAATAATTAAATACTACTCATAATGTATATTCACATGTGAATATACCAATGGCCATTTCTGAATATGCTCAATCACATGTAAGAACAGGTTATGCATACAAAAGTACTCTTTAGGGGATATACTCATGGTTATCCATGTAATGTATATATTACTCATAGTCACATGTGAATATACTTATGATCAAGATTCTGAATACACGGTTAACCAGATTGGAAAAAATATATCAATATGGGCATCAAATTTAAGAGAATAAAATACTTCTTTTATATAATTTGTTTATTTAGAAAATTATTAAACTAAAAATAAATTAAATTAAAAAAGAAGGTGAATCTAGTTTTATTATAAAAAAAATGCAATCGGTCTATAGTCAGTCAAAGATTGTTAAAAACACAAGCAGTAGCTCTGGAAGATCAATAGGTAATTTTGCCCATGTGAACACTATCTTTGCCATTGTTTTCATTAAGGTTGGTCTATAGGCAAAGATTGTTAAAGTCAAATATTGGAGTTATCAATTTTCGACACTAGCAAGAAAGAAAGTAGAAGCCCTGTTCAGTTTTTTTCTGGTTTAGTTTTTGCGGTAATGAGCTATACTAGATAGTAAATTGTCATTATATTATAGGCTTCTAGCTCATTGAAGTGTTGTCTTTTATCATTTGGTGATTTACTCACAGGCTCCTAAAGTGACATTTTCTTTCTCAGGATTCAGGAACAGTAGCAAGTCATATTGCACAGATACGTCCAGACGTCCAGCCGTCCAGCACACATATATGGATGATTCCATATATTTTATCTTTTGTATCTTACCATTGATAGCACAAGGCTATTTTCTTGTGCTGTACCTATTCAGTAATATCTTCAATTGTGGCTTAAGGAAAAAATCTACTTTTTACTATAACTACAAGTCTTCATCTCAATAATATCTCTCTATATATATGTGTGTGTAATATTTCCATGGATCGTTGTATTTTTCTGTACATGTAAAATGGAATTTCAAACAAAAAATACTCACATAACAGAAATAAATAATGTTAAAAAAGCACCATGGTTAGTGAGCAACGCTCATGAACATACATCATTTAGCTCATCAATATGACTAATGAACAGACGCCCATTAGTTGCCTATTCAAAATACTGTTCTATATCAACAACAGTTTAAAAATATATACAAAGATTAGCACATGCTTGTGATAATCGTAACAAACAGAAGTTTAGCAAGCGAAGTTCATCAAAACTCAGTAGTTACAAATCCTAAATATATTTGAACTTTATGATGAAGGTAAGGCAGAAGCAGTTTCTGCATTGTCACAAGCAAAGTAACCATAAAGTTTCCCTTAGAAATGAATTTCTTTTACATGGCTTATAATTTTCCAACATGGCAGGAAAGAAAACAAAAACGATGCATACACATGCTATATATGCTTTAAACAAAGTAAAGTAAAAAGAACAAACCTAACAATCTCTAGGCACTGCTTTGTGGCTTCAGTGACAGCAATATTCCCTGAAGGATCTTGCCTTATTCCAGCTGAACCAAGAAACATTTCCACCATTCCTCCAAAGGTGCGAAGTACAAGACCCCATGTTGACGATGTCATTTTGAATGAAATAAGATGGTTGAAGTTCTGGAACTGGAGAAAATAAACCAATCACAAGCATAACATTAACATCAAATATAAACAATCAAGCAAAATTATGATTGAAGAAGTTATTGATGAAAGAGTGAAAGAACAAATTCAAATTAGGACAAGGCCTAAGGGATAAAAGAAAAATGTTCTCTTTGTTACCTAAACGATAAATTTTATGGTTATTGACAAAACAACATTGGTCTCTGATTGGATAAGAATCTAAAGACCAAACTTACCTTGTTCTGAGCCATCATACTTCTGTTGTTGATGCAATAGTTTGTGTGTTATCTTCGTATGGGTAAAGGCAAAATGAGATTTGCAATTTAAGTGGATGTTAATGACTAGGTTCATTGCGTGTTTCTACTCTTCACTGTCGAAGCTGTTGAATTTCCTCTTAAGATAATTGAATGGATTTATACATTTGTTGCTGTCCCATCTAGACTTTGCATCAAGTCATCAACGGCAAGTTTACAGCAGCCACCAAAGGACACAATTATGGAATACTGCAGAAAGGCATTCTTTTTTTCCATATCTGCTGGATTTCTGTGCAGATGATAACTCTCAAATATATGGTGCCAACACTCTAGTCATAGACATATGGTGTCGTGTTTAGCTTTTATGGCTGACAGCCTAACCTTAGCTGCTGTCAGCAAGTTGGTGCCACATGTCTACTTGCCTTGAATGTGGAATTCGATTTTATATTATCTTTCTCAAGTTATGTTAAGAGAAAAAATAGATATGATGCTCTAACAAACAAGAGTTTGCATCAGCATTACTGAACCAAGTGGTTCGCTTCATCCAAACTCAACTAACAATGAAGCAAGACTGCAAGAGCAGGCTATGACATTTCTGCGCTGTAGTAAAACAAGGGAATTTCCATATCCAATTACTTTAAATCATTCGAGTATTTTCTGTTATTTGTTTTTGCAATCACCCAGCCAACATTTCTTTCAACCTACTGAAACTACTGACAAACTGATTTTAAACTTGCATCTCCCAAGTCAATCTATATGAGTTCGGTATCTGGTCCCTGACCACTTTACTATAGCGTTAGGTGTGTATGCCTGCTTAGCCTAACTTATTTTATGGGCATCATGTGTCTGCGCAAAAGCAGGTATCTGGCATTTAAACATTACTGGTCGGCCTACTCCATGGGATTTGCTTAGCATACATAGTCAGTATAATAAGGCATAAGAGCACCCCATGAGTTTTTTCCAAAAAAAAAAAATGAGCACCCATGAGCATGTACAAGAAAAAGCGGCTATAGTAAGACGATTATGGCATAAACATTTAGATAAAGAAAGTTACCAAGTTGGATAGCTGCACCAATGCATTAAGTGCATCATCGTCCCCTCTGGAATTCGATATGGTCCGAGCCAATTCCACAAGAAACATCGCGTCAGAGGTGACCTGAAACCCTAACGCATTTTAATGTATGAAAATAGAAAAATGACATCTTGAACATATTAGCGAAGCGCTCTGTACCTCATGGACAGGGAGATTGGGGGCAGCAGCAATCAGGGTTTCAGATTGAGCGAAAATAAAACGATTAAGGAGATCAATGACGGTGGTGGCAGTTGGAGAGGTCTGCACTTCGTCCCTCAAGGTCAAAAAGGTCGTCCTCCATGACCGAATTGCAGAAGACGAATTGGACGTCGAGGCTTCCATAAAGAGACAGCTCAAGTAAACATGAAGTTGAAAGGGTTTTTGGAAGTCAGCAATGCATGACCGGATGATTTTTCTAACCAGGCAACCCGAATATCTCGGTCCACCCAACCCAACTTGGGTTCGTTACGTTGGGCTGTATTTTTTTACTGGTTTGACTTTTTACTGGGTATGACTTTAAATTGAGATTTTCTTTAATCTGCTAAACTAACAACGATTATCAACTTATTATATGTTAGAATGGTTTAACTTCTTTAAAAAATGCTTATTATCGGTTTGGCACCGATATAAGCTGTTTATTCAAACAGTCAAAAGTGTTTATTACCGGTGTCACACCGGAATAAGTCAATAAGTTGTTTTTACAAGCAATCTCAAACACCCCTAAATTAAGTTGTTTATATCATGTCTTTAAACCGACAAATCCAATTCGTTCACTTATTTCATTTTCTTCGCATTCTTAGGGAAAAAGGAAAAGAAATCATAAGAAATGACATGATATTTTTTATCCTATGTAACAAATTTGAAAAGTAAATAGTCGTTTGGTTTACGGAATTTGATGAAATTTGAATGACAAAATTTTTTGACCAAATTTCAATTCTTTTGTTTGATTAACTTCTTAAAATGGATGGAATTCTTCAAATTCCATTGAATTCCACAAATCGGTGAATTTATTATTGTTTGACATAATGGCCTGAATTTCATCGTTGTTCATCCCTTGCCCCCACCAGGACCATCTTATTATTGTTCGTCATGCCCCACCCCTAACCCTCATCACCCACCCACCACTAACCATCATGCCACTATTGTTGTCATCACACCCATCCTCCCCTCGATCACATACTGCACATCTTTATATGAAATGTACAAGTATTAAAAGCATCTATATAATTTATTTGATACACAATTATACAACACATTTAATTAAATAATTAAAAGCATTATGTGATTATACAAGTAACTGAAGCACTTATATATGCAAGCAAATAAATGCTTCAACGATTAAAAATCCCTTTCACCATTACTGAATGCAAAAGAAATGGAGGTTTTTTGGCCATTTAAAATATTCATCAAAAACTGGAATACAAGTATTATTTTTCAACATATTCAACGATGGTTTTCTGGAATCGTGTTGTCAAGGTTAAGTTGAAGCTAATGAAATCCCCATTGCCACATTTTAAGGATATGAACTACAAATACAAGCAATGGCGGATCCATGATTTTTGCCTAGTGGGGGCACCTTTAAGATAGATTAAAGGTTCACAAAATTGTCCGGTGTGTTTTTAGCCTAATTTCATCGTTTCAAGGGATTTTTAAAGTTTTTTTTTGTTGATTTTGATATATTTTTAAGTTTTTTGGCGATTTCGAGGGACTTCTTTTGTTTTTGTTGTTGATTTTGAGACGATTTTTTGGTTGATTTCAAGGTCATTTTTTTGTTGGTGGGGACACAGGCTGGAAATTACTGAGGGGTTTGATAGAAAGTAAAAAAAAACAGTTTTTAACCTACGTAATTAAGAATTTAACTTTTTTTTATAGTGGGAGCCCATCCCCCCACCATTTGTATGTTACATCCGCCCCTAAATACAAGAGAGAGTTAGGGATCGTTTATCAAATTTTATATTAAGTCTTGTATGGATAATCTGTCCATCTTGAATGGCATAAATAACCGATTTACCCTCAAACAAAAATGTGATGGTGTTTACTATTGTTTACCTTTTTTAACATGCTTGCACCATTTTTTGTTTACACCAGTTCAATCAATAATAACCCAAAAAAGCTATTGTTCATCATACCAAAAAGCTATTTTATTTATCATATCAAGGAAAGAGGCGTGTTCTATGAAGGAGGGGTATTGGCGTCTTTTTTTCAGCTTAATGAGGACAACACAACATATCCTACGACTATGCGAATAAGCCATGGATTATGCAAACAGTTAAGCTACAAGTAAACACCATTTTACAGTTGTACGGATAAGTCGATCAACTCATTAAGCTCATTAAGTCAAAAACAAACAAACCATTAAAAAGAAAGAAGAGTCGTAAGGGGCCGGTTGTGATGTGTGGCAAAACCAATTTCACATAAATAAATATAGGATTGATTCCATGATGCACCCTAAACATGTTTTCACCCATACAAAATTACAACATTTTCATAGAACACGTAAATAAATTAGAGTATCTAACGTTACACCAACTAAAACCTTTGATTATAATAATACAAATATATATAGATTAACAAAAAAAATGTCACATGTACCTTATAGTTGTTGTTAATAAGTAAATAGATAGATTATATCACAGATGTAGTTTTCTAGGTTGCAACAATGCTCTAAAATGACCAAACGGCCTATGGTCTAATGGTATGTGAATCATTGGCCTCCTAAGAAATAAAGGGTTCAAAATATACCAAAGGTGAAGAGGATCGTTTATTAGCATGTTAATTATCTGGCTTTTGAACATGATTCCCAACAATTTGGGTCCCAATTTTACTTGTGCTTAATACCTATATTTATATAGTCCAACCTGTAAACCCATCTTATTAAAGACGAATTTCTTTCAAACTCAAAAGGGGTTATTTAATTTCAGAATTTAAATGCCAACCAAAAACAAAATCTACTCTTTGATATTCATTTCACTTCATCTTTTTAAACATTTTTATTGTTTTAATTTGTAAGGTTTTTAATACGATATAGAAGTTTATATCTTATTTTAGATGATCTATAGTTTCAATACGAGTGTTACCAGACATCCACAACGATTGAGACCGTCCTTTTTTCCCGATCAGAAGCTCACCTAAAAAGTTTGATAAATAGCCCATAATCCTCATTCACTTGCTAGTGCATAACTGCATATAGTAGGCTAATCTAGAATTGATTCATATCTACGATATGTCTATGATACTTTTATGTATTAGGCATCATTCCTGATTTACTGGTTAACATATTCTACTTTGTGATCAACCTTGTTATTTTAATCAAATTAAATTGTATAATCATTAGTTTTTTTGGTGAAATATGTAGGACTTTATTTTCTGTGTGTGTATATATATATATATATATATATATATATCGATCCGAAGTGGAAGTGTTAAGACTTCTAAATCTATCGCTACAACAAAATTGAGTTTGTACATTAGGCACATAAAATGTTTTAAGTGTTATAATAAACTATTTTATAAAATTTAAGTTTATGGGACCAAATATTTATATCTTCTATATACAAATGTTACAATAAGTTTACAGGACGATTTTAGATGTCTTGGCAAATTTTTAGGACATTTTAATAATATAAAATGTTGTATTAACTTATGTATAGGAGATTTTAGAGAAGTGTCATGAGAACACATCACGTCTTTTTGTACAACACTTATTTTTATAATACGTTTTCAAATGATGTCATATAAAAAATTAGTGGAACATTTGATTTCAAATTAAAAACTTGTAAACATGTCTAAGAACGTTCTATAAACTTATTGTTAACACTTTTATATACACAAACGATTAGTCATATAAATTTAATTCAGTCCTTTAAAGTAATCTATTAAGACACTCGAACATTTTGCTTGTCCTATAACCCCAATTTTGTTGTAGTATGCGTTAACTGAATTCTAAGATCTTGATGTCTGCCTTGTTTTTAGTACGTATATATAATCAGTTTCGAAAATCACAACAAGATTAATGTGTTTCTGAAACAAAATGGTTACTTCTTTTTTGGTGTTGTGGTGGTTTTAACAAAGGGGTTGTCACATACACACATGTATATGTATATGTATATGTATTCATCAAGAAAACCTTTATAAATCTGAAACTATATGTTAATGGATGATAGTGGTAGAAACGAAAGAAACATAAGACGTTGAATGGATTCCACTTGCCTGGGGGGTATTTGGTTAGCAAGAGCACCATAGACATGATGTTTCTTGATGGCATTTATATTCATGCATCATTATATATTGTCGATAAACAGTAATCGAATTTTTACGGTGAAGAAAATAAGTAGCAGGCATTGGCATCGCTTTCTGTAAAAGCCGGGTGTTTCACTGTTTTGCTGTCTTTAACAAACGTCTAAATCAGATGCTTTTGTGGAGAAAGGAAGTCTGAATCAGATGTCTTTTTCATATCCAAGTTGTATGGAATATATCTATGAAATTATTACCTGCCCTTTAAATTCTTACGTTTAATTGGTAATGACTGAAACTGTTAATCATTTTTGTTCGTCACAACTGGCTGTGAAGCCATCTACATACCAACTCCTGATTCTTTAATTCATAGCTAATTAAAATAATCAGCAACATATATATATATATATATATATATAAAGGAAAAAGGAAAGACTTGACTTCCTAAGGACTCTTGTTTAGGTACTAAATAAGTAGCTGGCTATAACTTATTTTAATTAGTTGACTAATCAAATTAAGGTTTATGATGTTTCCATGGTATTGCATTCTTTTGGAAAAGTTTGTCTGTCAAGAGTTCTTTTGTTATTGTCTAAACCCTTCAACTCCCATGCAAAGGTACCTTAATTCTGCATTAAATTGATTTTGGCTTTTCAGAATTAATAACCAACCCGAACCGACTATCACCAGGATGACCACCCGCTTCGCGTGTAGCCCGGAGTCACCGACAAATAACAAACTCCTTGAATCGAAGAAAAAGATATGTATGTGTGTGTGTATATATATATATATCAAACACTGTATATATGTGTTTTAGTGATGATCACTTTACTTGGCCTGTACTTAGATTTGACATATTGTTCCCTACTTGCATGGAGATGTAAATGCTGCTTTTAAGTTTCAACCAAAGTATCAGATGCTAAGCCCATGGAGGTTATCTCTCTTTCTCTATGATATTATAATATATAATACATATACAATATACATTATATGTTTAGAGAGAGAGAGAGAGAGAGAGAGAGAAAGTCTTCCTCCTGTATTCCCCACTTATGTTAGATGCTAGTGCCTCATTAAGTAACATTAATTAGTAGTTAAAAAAGAGTTGATCACATGCCACTTTTTGGCTAATGTTGATGAACAGGAGAAACTGAAGGCTACTCATGTAGTCTCTATCATATTAATTAAATTAATCATGCATCTTTTTTTCCTTTTTATAGTTGCATATATATATATATATATTAGGCATTAATGATCGATGCTTCATTATATGGTTGATGGTAGCAGATAGCTGATACCCATCGATGCCATCATGAGTTTGAAGGGAAACACGAGTCAAAAGAGATTTGAAGAATAGAATATAAATTCTATTGCTATTCAACGCGTGTGAAATTTAATTTGTCTACATAAAGGAGTTGATGTGATCTTGAGAATTTCCATTCTCTGATCACCAATACTTCAACTTGTTCAGTATCCTCTCTGTCTATTTAGCCACCACCGATTTTTTTTCCAACTTGTCTTACCATCGATTAGCTATAACAATATTCACTAACCACGTGGGTACGTGCTCGATCCTTCTACGTACTTAGTGAAAAAGATCCATGGATGGTAAGGGCTACGGCAAATGGTACCCAGTCCTGGTTATGATTGCAGTCCATTTCGCCTTCGCTACTATAAATGTACTTCTCAAAAAGGTTATAGATGATGGACTCAACCATCTGGTCTTTATCACCTATCGTCTCACTGTTGCTACAATCTTTTTGGCCCCTGTGGCCTTCTTTTTTGAAAGGTAATTAACTCCAGGGGATCTAGAGTGGGTTTTAAACCATCCACGTATTAATTGTAGTTCCAGTTTTATACATATGTATGTATATACATACATATATATATATTGTGATTATTTGATACAAAATTAAATGTCATGCAGGAAGAGCCAGTGGAAGCTTACATACAGCTTAATATGCCACCTTTTCTTGAATGCAATTCTTGGGTTAGTACTAATAGAAACTTGTGATTTTCCATCTTCTTGTATTAGTATCTATGTTTAGATTTTTCTCTCGCTGCAGGGCATCGCTCACACAGTACTTGTTCCTTCTCGGTATACAATATACATCCGCCACTTTCTCTTGTGCTTTTCTCAACATGGTGCCGGTCATCACATTTATCATGTCACTGCCCTTCGGGTTTGTAACTTCAAGCCTTCTATCATAGATATCATGTGTGTGTGCGTGTATATATATGTATATACATTTGTACATATATAGAGCTCTTGATCGGTATATGTGATCACACTGCTTAATTCAGGTTGGAAACTGTGAACATAAAATCAAATAGTGGAAGAGCCAAAGTGATAGGCACACTAGTTTGTGTAGGAGGTGCCACCTTACTGACCCTCTACAAAGGAGTGCCTTTATTTAACCATCATTCACACTTGCAAGACACAATCAATGTTCAAGATATCAGCAGACTAAGCTCCGTTTTAACTTCAAGAAAAGCAAGATGGACTTCGGGGTCGTTGGCTTTGATTGCTGGTTCAATCTTGTGGTCTTCCTGGTTTCTAGTCCAATCAAACATCGGAAAGAGATACCCGTTGCAGTATTCTAGCACCGCCATCATGATGTTCTTTGGTGCCATCCAATCTTTTGTCTTAAGCATGTCCTTAGAGAGAGATATTTCATCATGGATTCTGAAGGGGAAATTAGAAATCTTTAGCGTCTTTTATGCTGTAAGTGAAAATGTAGCCACGCTCCTATATTTCTAATTGCTTGTCATTTTTCATGTTTCAAACTAAAACTGGCAAATTGTGTTACCCCTTACCATATATAGCAAAAAAAGGGTAAAAGAAAGATGCATTTCTATCACAAGAAGTTGAATCTAGTTTTCAACAGAAAGTGAGCCATCTCATTTTCCAGATTTGAGAATTGCATCCAACTCATTTTATTCTATAGTTCCATGTGAAACTTAACAACAATGTAAGTACTTACTTTGGATATATACAGGGTATTATCGGTTCAGGTTTTTGCTTTGTTGCGATGTCTTGGTGTGTCAAGAAAAGGGGTCCAGTCTTCTGTGCAGCATTCAGTCCTCTTGTTCAGATGATAGCAGCTCTATTCGACATCCCATTTCTGCATGAACCATTGCATCTTGGAAGGTAACTCTCATTCTTTCTCATGCTAACTTATTGACCGATAATTCCATTCTATCATTGATCAGATTCTTTGTTTGTTGGTGGCGAACAGTTTAGTGGGATCGGCTATTGTCGTAATAGGATTGTACATTCTTTTATGGGGAAAGAACAAGGAATTGCAGACTTCTGGTGTTGCAAAAGGAGACCCAGATAACGAAAAAGCCAAAGTTCAAGACCCTGAGTCTCAAGTAACTTGTGATTCAAAGGATCCTCCAACCCCAGAAAGTTAGCTCATGACTCTTGGTTGTCATCGTATCTTACTATGATTAGTTTTTTCTTTAACTGTGATGATAAGATGATGATTAGGATGGCATATTCCTAATAAATAGAGACCTCTTCTTTCTAGGAAAAAGAACTTGATGAAGGTGTGAATTGCACTCTATTTGGAATCCACACCACCCTAATTAGTAATTATTGCCCAAAAAGAGTCAACTTTGCACTTAATTTGAGTTTCAAGAAATCTTGCACAGATTTGGTGTTTTTCTTGCTTTCTAGATTTAACGTCCATCTGATCATTGCAATATCCCACCACCCCAAATCACCTATTTTGCTAGGAAATCATCTCCATTAATGGGTAAATAGTGTCACCCAAATTTGAAACTTGAAACACCAACAATGGTGGATGATGCATTAATTTGGTTCAAGTATGAAGTAATTTAGATAGAAATCGACTTGGTTTTCCTGAATTCGACAACAACATCTACGTCAAAATTGATTGGGTTCGATCTCCATCTGACTGTATCTAAGATTGAATTGAGTTAGATCTTTCTTGACTGGGTAATCAATCTTATTTTATCGTTCATTTTTTAAGATCTAATTCTACCAAGATAAAACAACATATAATCCCAACAACACGATCAAAGTATCCCGACAATCACAGTTATGTCTTCTCTCGACAAGCATGATAATTTTATTTGAAATGAGTTCAAAGATTAACCATGGTTCTAAAAGACGTGACATAATGCAAGACGCATCAATGACGATATGATAAGCCTCATAACAATTGTGTAAAGTGTGGTTCATGTTATGTGCGCATCATGACATGCACTTTTAACGGTTATGTTACTTCTTAAGAAATTTGATTTTTTTTAATATTTTATCTTTTGTGTTTTACACCTTTATGCTTTCATCTAATCAGAGTCAGTCCTAAGATTTTTGATGCTCTGTACGAAAATAATAAAAAATGTCTCTAAGTCTATTTTTTTTAAATCAATGAAATTAATGAGTTTGGAACCTACTCAAGCTAAGTGTCCCATCTCCATATTGATTTTTATTAATTATAAAAAAAAAATACAATTGGGGGAACATAAAAACCAAAACCCCGAATACAAAAAATAGAATGATAAAAGGATAAATTCTGAATTAAGATTGTGTTTCCTTCTTTACCAGTTTCCCTTTTCCAGTTTCCCTTTTCCAAATTGAAATTATCAAAATAAAAACTTTATTTCAAGATATGAAACTTAAAAGACAAGGAAAATTATAATTAGTTTTTAACTAAAATAGTAAATTACATCCAAATTATCCCGATAAGCACAATTATGTCTTCTCTCGACAAGCATGATAATTTTATTTGAAATGAGTTCAAAGCTTAACCATGGTTCTAAAAGACGTGACATGGTGCAAGACGCGTCACTGACGTTATGATAAGCCTCATATCAATCGTGTAAAGTATGGTTCATGTTATGTCACTTTCAGGTGCATCATGACATGCACTTTTAACGGTTATGTTACTTCTTAATAAATTTGATTTTTTTAAATATTTTATCTTTTGTGTTTTACACCTTTATGCTTTCATCTGATCAGGGTCGGTCCTAATATTTTTGATGCTCCGTACGAAAATAATAAAAAATGCTCTTAAGTCTATTTTTATAAATCAATGAAATTTTTTAAAGAGTTTGGAACCTACTCAAGCTAAGTGTCTCATCTCCATGTTGATTTTTATTAATTATAAAAAAAATACAATTGGGGGAACATAAAAACCAAAACCCCGAATACAAAAAATAGAATGATAAAAGGATAAATCCTGAATTAAGATATTGAAATTATCAAAATAGAAACTTTATTTCAATATATGAAACTTAAAAGACAAAGAAAATTATAATTAGTTTTTAACTAAAATAGTAAATTACATCCAAATTACAATCGTAGTAAGCAAAAAGTAACAGGTCTAATAACTAAAGTCTAAGGGCCTATTCGTTAGCAGCTTAATAAGCTTAATGAGACTAACAACTTATTCGCTCAACTATGCATGATTGTTTCGTAGTGACTTAATGATATAGAAAGTGACTTATCCAGTAAGCTTCTAGGGGAAGCTTTATATAGAAATCCAAATTTTCTTTTCTAAACATGTCCCTCCCGACTAAAAAACCGCTCCTTACATCTATGGAAAAACTCTCTCAAACAAATTTTTTTCCAACTTATACAAACAGATTAATTCATATAGACAAATTTATCGATATATAACTTAATAAAAAACCAATCAAACGGCCCCTAAATCTAATGCGGTAATGTCAAACCTCAAAGTAAAAAAAAATCAAAAGAACAATGATAAATAGTAAATTTCATAATCTATGTTATTGTGCATTGCAAATAACAAGTGCCCAATAATTAAGACAACTTTATGATAACCAGTTAGATATTTAGATTTTTTTTTAAAAAATTTAAAGATTCATAAAATCATAATATGATTAACATAAGAACTCGGTAAGTTCAATCAACAGTAGAGATCGGTCATTCGAGATTTTCATGTTTGATTTCTTAAATCTAATTTTATGACCGTTAATTGGCTGGAAACGAAACTCAATGCCTTGAAAATCAAAATAGTCGAACTTTGAAGAACAATAGAAGTTAGATTGAGTTGTTGAAATGATGACGTTAACCGATTCACGATGTGCATTCAGTATCCATCACTACTAAGCTTTGGGTCTGTTTTTATAGTTAAAGATGAATTGTCAAATTCTCAAATTATTAAACCCAAAACTAGTAATAAATGAAACTTCATGCCGTTTTAGAATTTGATGCCCTGTGCAGCCGCACGGGCTGCACGTGGTCAGGGCCGGCCCTGCATCTAATTACCTCACATAGAGAGTCATGAATTTTCACACACACACACACACACCCCTCGCGTATTCACGATTTATATTATATCAACATAGTTTTAAGAAAACCTTTCAAGTTCTATTCTGAATTTCTAATCACAAGACTTTATATTATATCAACATATATGATTTTTCTTCTTCTAGTATAAAGTTAAATCGTTTAATATTATTATTTCATTGAATAATAATAATAGAAAACATATAGCCTCTGACGTGTAGCTCAGGTGGGAAAAGGACGAGACGACTTTGTCCAAATATAAGACAAGTTCGGGGTCTGATCCCAGACCCCTCCGCTACCCTCAGTCGTTGAGTGAGCTAAAAAAGCCCCCTCACATGCATCGGTACCGTGAAGGGCTGGCCGGTTGAATTACCAATAACCAATTTTTCCCAAATAATAGGAAACATATATGCATAATTATATATATGACATACAAATTTACGCCTTAGATCACGTCTTTAAAAAACGCCATGTCCTCACCATGACACGTCATACGTCATCACTAGATTATGTTTCACTCTATTTAGAATCTTGCACTTTACACTTCAAATCATCTTTAATTCATTTTTTTATGAAGTACCAAATTGCTTAGTATTTGGTTGAGATGCTTCTTTATAATAGAATAATTCTACCGTAAATATAATATTATGGGTTCATGCAATTACGCGTTTATGCTGTTATTCTAAAACTTGTTCCTTCTACATTAATATGCCTTAACAACATAAATTTTATCGCTCCATTATCGTTCCGTATATGCTAATGACATCTTTTCAATAACGTCATTTTATTTTTATGCTATTACAGAATACACCGAAATAACCTTTCACATTGAATCTTGTTACCCTTTCCGTTCCTTCCTCTCGAAACGATTCTTTAAAACCCTCAAATTCCATTGGTAATCTACAGGAAAAATCACTAGTGGATTTCATCGTTAGAGAAAATGTGGCCAGGGTTTTTGATCACCAATGGAAAAATCTTTTGGTGATAGTCAATACACCTGTAATCTGTCACAAATTACGGTGGAAAAATTCGTCGGTGAAGTCTCTTTGTTTTTTTAGTGAATATTATATAGTAAATTGGAATTTTTTTTCGGTTTTTTGAAATATACATTATTGCATTCCTTGGTAAATTTTCATTATACTTTTTATTGGCGAGATATTGATGAGGCGAAAGATCGTGTGAGAAGGGAAGGTAAAGTAACAAATGTTCTCAGACTTCTGATTATACACTGGGCCTAGAAGCCCAAACTAACTGACTATTTGGTCCAAAAGCCCAAATCTGTTCCGTTTATTTTTTTACTTTTTCCTCAAAAATGACATACAAAATTTTATGTTTTAATTTTTAAAATTATTAATCAAAATACACCATACATATTATATTTGCTGATTTACATTAAAAAATCTTGAAATAAATATGGTTTGTTTTCTGAAAATTATGTATTCTAATTTATAACAACTTGAAAATTGGTCCCTAGCCATAACCGGCCCCAAGACGGGCCTTGAATTTATAGTTAGAATCATAACCAGATTGGACAGTAATCGATCCTTGTCGGTCCCGAACGGACCCGGTCCTCGGCGGTATACTTAATATTATGGACTATTTAAATTATTATTTTCCATAACTTATTTATAAATTTGTATATTTTTATTTAAAAATAAATTTAAGATATTTTTGAAAAAAGGTCATGTTATAGTTACTTATTCAAAGTTTAATTTTTTTAAATCTATTTTTTGTTTTAATTTAAAACATATAAATTGATTAAAGCATCATTTAAATAACATTTTAAAATAATTGTTAAATAAGAATATGTAAATATTAAATAAAACTGGGGCTGACCCTGGTCGGGAAGTGATGAGGCCATATTAATCCTATGTTTCAATTGTCTAGAATGAGCATTAGTCACATGGAATAGGATTGGTTCAATTGGAACAGTTGGAGCTACATTGACCCGACATTCCAACTATAGGGACCGGGTTGTGACCACACATACCAAGACCGAACCTTTTCATGGGTTGCTTCAATTTGGGTCTTATGTATCTCTACCTCATAAGCTGATTTGTTAAGACAGTACATGTATTTGATATTTTTTATCCAACAAATATATTTGGCCCGTATAAACATTTCATTGATGTTTTTTCTGTTCTTTCATGAACCCCATAAACGTTCATCTTTTGTTTCTTTTGTATTTTTCTTTTCTTTTAATAACCGTGACATATGATTGTTGACCGAATAAGTGGCAGACTCAGAATCGTTAAGAGGTGAATCTTGTTTGCAAAAAAAAAAATCTGTCTCTTAATGGTTCTAAAACCATCTGAATGATTTTGTATCCT